TTAACAGGGTATATATGAAGAACCATTCCAGCCAAATTTGTCAATGGCTGCTTTGCATCCTTTGTACTATTTCCAGAAACTGCATCAAGCCCCTTTCCATGAAGACATTATGGTTCATAGAAAATGAGTTGCTATTTATCCCCCCGGTTTGTAAAACAGGGCATGTGGCGATCAGTATGTCCGTCCCTCAGGCGTCCGGATGCAGAACTCCAAAACCATTAAATATTTCTTGTTGAAACTTTCTATATAGATCAGTGTAGTGGTGAACTGATGCCTTTTGTGAATTTGGAACTTTTATGCAATTATTTTTTGTCGCATGACGACAAGACTGAAAATGGGGGTACTTGTTTCCAGTACAGAACTCCAAAACTGTTGAATATTTTTGGAGGAAACTTGCTATGCAGATCAGTCTAATGGTGAACTGGTGCCTTTTGACGACTAAGGATATTGAAAAATACTGAACAGCATTATATTTTTCTCTACTGAACTGAAGGTATCCAATGGCAATGAACCAAAAGTGGGGATTTAGTAGCCAAACTCCATTTCCTGATAGCACCAGACCAGGGGAATATGTCATCTGCTGATGACTCTTATTTAGAGTACATTTCCTCTCCATTTGAAAAGTTTATGAATTTGTTGTCACTTGAGGTAGAGACTGTCCAATATTTCATATAAGTATTTATTAACTGCAACCTTGAAATCGAATACAATTCAGAGGATAGTATCATTTATAAGAATCAACATTCATGAAATGCAGTGTGAAATTGCAGTGTACGATTTGGTATGAGGTTGTCCCAACATTGTATTTCACAGACCAAAGTTTGTAAATATTCCAAAATTAGAATATCCTCTGTTCATTGCAATTAATTATAACAATAATTAATTGGTTTTTCAAAGAAACATTGTTCTTCACTGATAACAGGACCAAAGAAAGAGAAAAGAGCTATTATGCTTAGTATATTAAATATACATTCAAGCAAAATATGTAGATGAAGATGACTCCATTACAGCATTATATATGTGGTCACTGATATTTTGGGTAGCTTCCATTCATGCAGCCAAATAACACTAAATATACAGTACAGAACAGCAGCATTTTCTAAATTTCATCTGTTTGGTAAGTTAGAGCAAGGACCATGTGTATGTGACTGTGACATGAGAGATCATGTGTTTCCATACAGATAATCTATATACAAGTGATAAGTGGCTTGTTAAAATGCAACCCCATGAAGTGTAAGGATGTTGTCTCAGTGGGGATCACTGATGTTGTCGTGTTGTCGAAGCAGCATTACTTTCAACTGACAACTGTTCAGGCTAAATATTTTCATTGTAAAATGATATTGATGTTATTCTCTGCTGGGGTATTGATTTTCTGTGTGAGGATTGTACTAGTCCATGCTAGATACTGCCTGGCTGATGAGTGCCGAGACCACCTTGGTGACCTGACGACCCCTCAGCCCTGCAGGGTTGGCCATTCGGCAGTGGTGTAGACTATAGTTAAACTTTGTGGCCACTCCAGACACTGCATACAGGGTGAATTCATACCGACCATGCTGGACACTGCATACAGGGTGAATTCATACAGACCAGGCTGGACACTGCTTATAGAGTGACACATACCCACCATGCTGGACACTGCATATAGAGTGACACATACCCACCATGCTGGACACTGCATATAGAGTGACACATACCCACCATGCTGGACACTGCATATAGAGTGACACATTCCCACCATGCTGGACATTGCATATAGAGTGACACATACCCATCATGCTGGACACTGCTTATAGAGTGACACATACCCTCCATGCTGGACACTGCATACAGGGTGAATTCATACCGACCATGCTGGACACTGCATACAGGGTGAATTCATACCGACCATGCTGGACACTGCATATAGAGTGACACATACCCACCATGCTGGACACTGCATATAGAGTGACACATACCCACCATGCTGGACACTGCATATAGAGTGACACATACCCACCATGCTGGACACTGCATACAGGGTGACACATACCCTCCATGCTGGACACTGCATATAGAGTGACACATGCTGGACACTGCATATAGAGTGACACATACCCACCATGCTGGACACTGCATATAGAGTGACACATACCCACCATGCTGGACACTGCATATAGAGTGACACATACCCACCATGCTGGACACTGCATATAGAGTGACACATACCCACCATGCTGGACACTGCATATAGAGTGACACATACCCACCATGCTGGACACTGCATATAGAGTGATACATACCCACCATGCTGGACACTGCATATAGAGTGACACATACCCACCATGCTGGACATTGCATATAGAGTGACACATGCTGGACACTGCATATAGAGTGACACATACCCACCATGCTGGACACTGCTTATAGAGTGACACATACCCACCATGCTGGACACTGCATATAGAGTGACACATACCCACCATGCTCGACACTGCATATAGAGTGACGCATACCCACCATGCTGGACATTGCATATAGAGTGACACGTGCTGGACACTGCATATACAGTGACACATGCTGGACACTGCATATAGAGTGACACATACCCACCATGCTGGACACTGCATATAGAGTGACACATTCCCACCATGCTGGACACTGCATATAGAGTGACACATACTGACCATGCTGGACTCTGGATATGTGATGAATACATACAAATGACATTGAGACCATTCTAGACACTAGACATTGTGAACACTTAAAACATCCACGTTTGATAGTGTTATTGTCCAAAACTAAGTTGTACCTCCACCAGCATGGAATCATACTTTGGATCGGTTTTGGTAAAGATCAGTCAGTACCATTAATTGTTAAACATGGTTAGATTAGTCAATTTCAAATGCATTGCAATCTAGTCAGGCAGGATCATGTACCAATTCCTATCCTCATTTAATCATGTCATACAACATCCAATGACAATCTTTTGAAGGTCAAGGTCACAACAAGGTCGGCACCTTTGGATGTTTGTCTTGGACTTTTGACTGCAGTGATTAATGATTTGGATTACATCAGATGACTGACTTGTTTATACCAGAATGCATTGTTCTTCATGCAATTACAGATGCATTCACAAACAGCATTAGACTTCATCACAACGAAAAGTTTACATAACTATGTTATAAGTTACCTTAATCTTCCAAAACCAGAAAAGGCGTCATCAGACTAAAAGTGCATATCATTTTCTCATCAAGTGTTCAGCCACTTGTTGAAACCTGGGTGTAGTCTTATTTCTTTTATCTCATAAACTAACCAATAAAACTCTATTAAGACTTACACCTACTGGAAATGTTGTCAGATTCAGATTAGGGAACTCAAAAGGTTGTTGCATATACTGAAGTTCGCTATTGTTTGGGAACATTCAGAACTGTTGCATGATTTGATTGCTTCTCATTTTAAATGTAATACTAACACTTCATGCTTCAATGCTAGTTGACAGTATTTGAGAACATCTGTTTATTTTAGCTTCCACGACCCGTGAAGATCCGGGGTAGAATAAGTCTTCAGCATCCCATGCTTGCCATGAAAGGCGACTAACGGGATCAGGTGGTCAGGCTAGCTGACTTGGTTGATGCATGTAACCATATCTCAATTCCATGGATTCATGCTCATGATGTCAATCACTAGATTGTCTGGTCCAGACTTGATTATTTACAGACTGGCGTCATATAGCTGGAATATTGCTGAGCATGCTGAGTGCGATGTTAAACAACAAACAAAAATTTTAGCTTCCACAGTGACTAATTGTTCACTGTTTAGGGTATAGTTTAGAATTTTTAGTTGTCTCGAACTTTCATCAATGATGAATTTGTTTTTATCAGTTCTATTTGTTTGAATGTATTTGTAAAGGGATGATAAAAACGAGAGTGACATGCATAAACACAAGAATCTGGTAACATCGTTTCAAGACATGTTGCCATGGTTACTGTTTTGTTTCATGATCACTGTCCAAGTATGTGTGTTTGTGTTTCAAAATTAAATATCATTTGATTTTTTTGCTATTTTATTTATTGTTATTTACCAGTATAACACCTTGGTCATGTTCAACTAGTCTCTCAAGCATGTCCTGATTTTCACTGGTCTCAGACATGCAGAGCAGGACCATTGACCATGCCTGTCTCGGCTTAGCTCAGTAGGGGCTCCAGAGAATTACACCAGAACGGTTATAACATTTAATGATCTAGGCTGCTGCAATGAATTGTGTCCCTTAGTTCTACCAGGATCCATTGGGTTGCAATCCCAGTGATTTTGATCCTTGCTCAATATGGGCTTAATCAGAGCTTTTGTCATCACACAACTTGCATGTCTTTGGACTTGGGACTCCAACAACAAAATGTTCAAAGTGGCATCAAACCCAACTCACTCAATATTTATCACACTGAATATGTTTCAGCACCTAGTGATAGATGGCACATTATGATGTCTTTCAACAATCGGAGAAATGCCCTCCATGTGTACAGTGTACTGTCAGGATAGTGGATATATATACCGGTGTATATATATATATATATATAGAGAGTGCCGTTGTACAAAACAACCTCATCGTTATGACTGTCGTAAGTCTATGTTAGGGTGTGTGAGTTACGATCACCTTATTGCTTAGCTCTCTTTGTACAACAGCACCCTTGGATAGCTGTTAACTGACTGTTAACAACGATAGAAATTGGCACTAGTGCTGTGGTCCTTGCCAAACTGCCCAATTGTTAAGGTATCATAAGGACTAGTAGAAATTTGCCATTATTAAGGGATTTGCTATATGTTATCATTATAAGGACTAGTAGACTAAAACTGTTAGTTTCTTCCGCTGGTTAATAATCTTGACTAACTTCAACATACCAAGTGCAAAATTGTGTCATGTGATCTTTGACTATGGTTAATCAACTTTGTGCATATGCTTCGTGTGCCTCAGAAATATGTTTAGATCAGATGTGTTTCTATATTTTTGGATTTTTTTGTTTCAGAACCCGGTTGCTCACTGCTGGTCGGAGCCCGGACATTTCAAACGAAAATTTTGCAACGTCTGTCGAAAACGATTAGAAGACAGTCTTGCGATACGCTGTGAAAGTAAGTATCTTAATCTGCTCTTGTCAGATCTTTATTTTGCTGACCAAATACATGCATCGCACTTACATGATTTCTGATGCAGTGAATAATGCACAATTTGTCACCTGGCTCGCCTCAACCCGTGGGTTTCAATAGGTGCCCAGCATTCAGGTAGAATGAGACAACGAAATTGAACTGGGTGGGCAGGCTTAGTGACTTGGTTGTCATTGTAACACGATTCCCAATGGTATGGGCTCGTCACAATATACCCCATGTGAAACATTGCCAATGTGACATTAAATATTAGCTCACTCACTCACTCACCCAGTGGTATGGGACATTACTTAAAATATCATCACTGGTGTGAGTGGCTGAGACTTGATTGTTAGAGCCTGCTGTGATATAGCTGAAATATTGCTGACTGGTGTAAAACAACAAACAAATCTGCTCCTGCACAGCATTAGAAATTGCCATGAGTGCTGTAGTCCTTGCCAAACTGCCCAATAGTTACAGTGTCATTAAGACAGTAGAAATCTGCCATTTTTAAGGGGTTTTGCTATATGTTATATGTTAGGACTAGTGAACTAAAACGGTTTGTTTTTACCACTGCTGCATAAACCAACATTGTGTCCAGTGTGACTCCATGTCCTCTGTGTTTGTGTTTCAGTCTGTGAGTATTATGCCCATCTGGATTGTCAGGACTTTGTTGTTAGTGACTGCAAGGAATGTGCCACATATCTGCCACAGAGAGATAAGGTGAGAGTGCTGTCAGGCTGGCCTATGGTCCCAGTCCCACAATCGCGATGTGAGGTGATAAACACTTTGATACATTAATGTTTATTTTAGTTTATTCTGGTTTCTATCGCCTCTGTGGTGTAGTCGATAGAGCATCTGCCTTGAGAGCAGAAGGTCAGTGGTTTGATCCCATGGCCATGTCATACCAAATGACATTAAAGGATGATACTTGTTGTTACCCTGCCTGGTGCTGGCATTAAGCCTGGCATTTAAGGGGATAAAACAAGGACTGGTTGGTTCAGAGTCCATATAATGTGTCTGAGTTTTCGTATCCATGTTCAGCTGCATCATGAACGATATGGTATGGTATTTCAGTGGGCTAGCTATATAAAACTGGCATAGGTTAGACTATTAAAAACCGCCACACACATGCACATCGCTATAGAAGTGCAGTAATCTTGAACTTGTCTTTAAACCCCCATTTCACCCCACCTCACCTAATCGTTATTTCATACATTTTTCTTTTTGACAAATTGGAAATAATTGTCCATATATTATGGTGAAGTGAGGTCTTGTGGTTAAACAGTCACAATTCACTCAAAATGCTGAAGACCCATTTTTGACTTTAAACCTTTTTTTTGCACTGTATGAACCCTGTTTCTGAAGTCACCTGCTAAAATATTGATGGAAGTTAGTGGATGACCTTGACTGCCAGTATCAAGATCAAATTCTTGAGAATGTCCTCCTGGTGTTGAATCTGAAAAAATCCACTTTTCCAGTTTTTAAGAATGATGCCTCATTCTAGCCTGTTCTGTGGTACTGGTTTGAGTATTTTAGTCTTGACGTTATTTGTATGACATGTTATGTTATGTTTTGTTTTGTGTGGCAGGGCACCGTGGTCCACTTCCACCACTGGAGGGAGGGGAACTTGCCCCCCAACTCCAAGTGTGTAGCATGCAAGAAAACCTGCTGGTCTTCAGAGTGTCTTGCTGGCATGAGGTGCGAATGGTGTGGAGTCACGGTAAGTGGACAAGTTTCTTCACAACTTCCATATTCCCTCTGTGTTCCATACACCAAAAGACGTTAACAGATGGTACTTGTTGTTACCCTGTCTGGTGCTTGGCATTAAAGGGCTAAAACAAGGACTGGTCGGTCACACACACACTAACACTAACACTAACATTTAGTCTCTGAAATCTTATATTACACAATATCCTTCTTGACTCTACCAATAAAAAAGAAATTCCCAATGCTGATTACAGAATAGAGCTAGCTTGAGCTGGCTAGAATTGCTCTTATATGTATTTCTAGATTATTATTTGTAATAAAATAAATATATTCCACGGTCATGGTGCAGGACACACACGGACACACACACACACACACACACACACACACACACACACACACACCACACACCACACACCACACACCACACACACACATCGTGGGGGTTCTAGGTAAGAATATAGGTCCGCAGCAAACCTATTCTTGTTGTAAGAGGTGTAAATTGATGGGTGGTTAGAATCGGTGACTTGGTTGATTGCATGTCATCGTATCTAACTGCGTGGCTCGTTGCTCGTGATGTCAATTACTGGATTGTCTGGTCCAGACTCCAAGACTGCTGTCAAATAGCTGGAATGTTATTAACAGATTGACAAACCATGGCAAGCTGACAAATATCGTTTTTCCATATTCCCTGTATGTGTATCATAAGATTGACAGATATTCTACACCAACATCCTTATGACAACCACAAGACAAATAGGCAGAATATTCTAATCTTCTTTTTAATTTCTTGCATGTTAAGCACAGTATGTTTCCAAGGTATGGTCAAACATATCAAGTCATGTCTTAGTCTAGCTCTACACCAGTTGTCAAAGCTTATTAAGTGATCAATTTGAAATCCATTTTGCCTGTAACCAGGGTTGTATGGCTTAGCCTTCTATTCCTAACCTGTGAATGTGCATGTAGTAGATGGGAGGAGTTGGAAGATAGGGGCTCGGTTCGCCAAGAGATGGAGAAGTTTTAATCCCTCTCCAAGCCAGCCGATTCAATAGCCCAGATTACTGAGCCCCCACAGCGAGGGCTGTCACTGTCATTGACCTCGCTGATAACATATTGATTTTACGCCTTGCTTGCACAGAGTTACCTCCCTTCTGCTGAGCTAAATTTGTACCATTTATTGATTATTTTTTTTCATGCAAGTGTCTTTGGTCAGTAGCTTGCGCTCACATGCTAGGGAGAGGCGAGGCCACATAAAATTATGTAAATGTGCTCTACTGAGCACTAGCTTGTCTACTGTGCTGAAACAGGCGCTTGCAATGACAGCTGAGTGAATAGACAAGGGGGTTGGGCACGTCAAGAGTCTGTCGTGGTGCCTTTTTCTCGGCGTGATTTATCTGATATAGAGACCCTAATGAACTGTGACTTACGCAACTAAGATGAGCTTGATTTGATACCAAATAACCGGCACAGTCTTTCAGAACTGTTTGATCCATCATGCTATATGAGGTTTTGAACAAGTGTGGAAATGACATACTGAAATCAGTGTTAGATGATGCTATACTGCAGTCTGTATTGACACTAGATGTGAAATGGGGGTGTGTCTTCACTGTTAGATGAGGCATGGTATGATTTTGTCAGTGTAAGTTTTACTCCATGGGATTCCGGATCACAATAGGAGCCCAGTACTTCATGTTTGTCCAAAGAGTCAACTGTAATTTGTATTGGATGGTTAGGCTGCTTGACTTGGCTGATGGCATGTCATTGTACCATGTCATTGTACCATGTCATTGTACCATGTCATTGTACCTTGTCATTGTACCTTGTCATTGTACCTTGTCATTGTGCCATGTCATTGTGCCATGTCATTGTACCTTGTCATTATACCTTGTCATTGTGCCATGTCTGTAATTGTTTTGTTCACAAAAAGTGTTAGGCCGTAGGCCTATTACACAGAACCATTTACAGAGAGAGGGAGAAAAAAGAATTATCACTATTTTACACATACGTATGTGTATGAATGTGTATGGATATGATTTTAAAGTAAGTGGATGACATAAGAGCATTAAATTTTTTTTAGAAGGGGTTGTAAAATATTTAGGAGGAATGTATTCAGCTCTTAAATCACTATAAGCATTGCATATAAGCACAAAATGATATTCGTCCTCAATAAAATTCTGGTTACAAATCAAACACAGTCTCTGTTCTCTAATTTCCTTAATATATCGACCCGTCTCAATTCGCAGCCGATGCCATGTGCCATGTCATTGTGCCATGTCATTGTGCCATGTCATTGTACCATGTCATCGTACCATGTCATCGTGGAATGTCATTGTACCATGTCATTGTACCATGTCATTGTGCCATGATAGCATTCATTGTTGCTCATGATTTCAGTCACTGGTTTGCCTGGTCTAGACAAACGTTAAGTGGCCACGATCATACTGCTGGAAGCCTGCTTGCTCCAGCATGAGACAACACTCACTCACTCACTCACTCACTCACTCACTCACTCACTCACTCACTCACTCACTCACTCACTCACTCACTCACTCACTCACTCACTCACTCACTCACTCACTCACTCACTCACTCACTCACATATTTAAGCCATGATACATGTATTTGTGAAATTAGAGATGGCTCGTCATATCCTACCTATCGTGCACTACTTCTGTATATTTCACATGCTACTGGTCAATGTACCATACTACTATACATTTGTAATACAAAAAAACAGTGCCTGTGCCCATGCACCTGTGTCACATCACAAACATAAACCGATTGACTAAGCCCAAAGTCAATAAAGATGGAAAAGATATGTCAATCTTAAATTGAAATAGATATGATCCTAAGATTGTGTTTGACTAAGACTGTACTGTATTGTTTCAGGCGCATGCCCTGTGTTATCGCAGCCTACCAGCGGAGTGCAAGTTCGGTAGTCTCCGCGACATTATGCTTCCCCCGAGCTGTCTCACCATCCCCAGAATGGACGTCCCCGTGGAGACTATCCTCGGACTAAGTAGGATAACCAGTAGGCGCCCGCTTTCGTCGTCATCTCATTTTGTTTCCTTATTTGACAACAGAGCTTCCTGAATGTGTGATGCAAATCACACGTATTGCACAGCCTTAGAAATTTGTCTCTCTAGTCCTCACAGTTGGTAGATATTACTGCTTGAAAAAGACAGAAATTACTGTTCATTTTCTTGCAGTTGTATTCAGTTCCAGTTGGTAGCAAAATTGAAAAAGTGAGACTGGTTCAGAATTATAGCCCTCAAATACTGAGGACTACCATCATTGGATTTTTCTTGTCCTCAGCACAATTTAGTAGTCTCAGGTTAGAGGACGAGCTTGAATTTTAAAGGCTGATTCCGATTTTCAATGGGGGAAACTTGTGGCCAAAAGTAAACCAAATGCACAAAATGTTTGAAATCCGATCTAACAAAATATCTGTGCTGTCCATGGCTTGATGATCTGGATTTAAGTAAAGCAAGTGTGATCATTATTCGTTCAATTTGATCAATATAAACCATTGGACATCGTTGTGTATCAAACTGAAATGAAGGGAAGCTCTGGATGTTGTTTATGTTGCCTTAATCAGTTTAGTTGACGTGCATCCTTGTCCGTGAAAATCTGGTGGAGGTCTGTGAAAGCTTGGCCTTAACAGAAGTCAGTGTGCAATACACCGGGTGATGAGTATACCAAGTGGTTGTCAGATGCTGTGCATTTCCAGTAATTAATTTAGTGCTTTTCTTATAATGTTTATTCAGTGTATGGTATTTTGATTATTTTCAAGTTGCCAATATTTATTTTTTGGCATATTGTTTTAGTTCCTTCCTCCGTGTTGAGCAGTGTACATTGTAGACAGTGTGACTAGCGTTACACCTGACTTCACACTATTCCAGAAATTACATGTTTGCATGTTATGCATGAATGGAATGACCTCCCATGTCAGGTTGATGACGTGAGGGATGTTGGGTTCAGTCGTATCCTGTCCACAGCCATTACATGTATCGAGTTTGCCGTCCCCGATACGCTGACAGGTTTCTTTCATTAAAAACATCCTGTCTGGGATTATACATAAAGCAGGGGGCCCAGGGGGCCCAGTCGTCTAAGGTGTCGCGATTCGCTGTGCAGAGTTGCGTCCCTTTGGCGAGCCAGAAACCTATGATTGTGGGTTCGAATCCCGGTTCGCCCCGATTATGTTTCTAGGTTTGTCAGCACCATACCCGTGCTCATGGGTCTCACCAAAGTGGTAAATGTCTGAGACCTGCATCACTTCAGGCTTTCCTCCCACATTAAGCTGACATGCCGTGATATAACAGTAATACTGTTCAAAGCGGCGTTAAACTCAACTCACTCACTCACTCACATATAGCGTTTGCAGGATTGTGAATGCTGACCCAATTACTGCAGAAGCACTGTGCTTTGTAAAACATATTCCATACCTTGTGTGTAAATAAAAAAAAGGGACAACCTCAATTTTTTCTGAAGTTTCTGGTGATACAACTTTAATATGTTTAACAAGAAATAATATCGGGCTATTCTCATAAAAGATGCAGTTGAAGCACAATAACATGTATTTTTGATTATTGGCATGAGACCCCTACCCCCAGAGAAGACTGAGAGACTGTGTGTCATAGTCAGTTTGAGTCGGCCATGTTTAAGTCATTAACTTGATCTGTGATACACAGATACATAAACTAATTGTATTGTGTGTACCATATGTATAAAAGAAGGATTAGTTGGGGGAAATAAATCATGAACCAAATCTTTTACAGTTCACATGCTCTGGAACTGTTATTGTATAGGTAAATATATCCTTGTTGTCCTGCTGATGTTATTATGAGTTTATGCCACTACTAATGCTCTGTGTTTCCTTTTCATCTGTCCTGCAGCTCTACCTGGTGAGTAAATTATTAAAGCTTTATTCATACAGTCAAACCCCATTGTCTCAAACTCGGGTGTCAAACCCTTACTATATTCATCACTATTTTCACCTGGATGTGTTGAGTTCCTGGTTGACTGCATGTCCATTAGTCAAAAAAAAGAAATTACCCTTACAAGTCAAACTCAAAATTTTGAAGGAAAAAAAATAATTTAAATTTGTATCTAGTGTAATAGCCCAAACATGACACAGCATGAAAAAGCAAAGACAGCAAACCATTGATTGGCCCGAGTATAGGCAACCATCATTAAGTGACTTTTACATTTGCACAATTACAGTTCAGTCGGTAACCAGTTATAGCAACGTAGCCTAAAGGTTAAAGCGTTCGCTCATCATGCCGAAGACCCGGGTTTGATTCCAGACATGGGTACATGTCCCCCACCGCCATATTGCTGGAATATTGCTAAAAGCGACGTAAAACCATACTCACTCACTCACTCAGTTATAGCACCACCTTCAGTGAGGGAAGCATGTAGACACTTGAGACGGTCAATACCCATGCCCAACGTCCCGTGATCTTCTTTTACATACTACCCGTGAAGATCCGGGGTAGAATAGGTCTTCAGCAACCCATGCTTGTCGTAAAAGGCGACTATGCTTGTCGTAAAAGGCGGCTTACGGGATCGGGTGGTCAGGCTCGCTGACTTGGTTGATGCATGTCATCGATCCCAATTGCGTGGATCAATGCTCATGATATTAATCACTGGATTGTCTGGTCCAGACTCGATTATTTACAGACCGCCGTCATATAGCTGGAATATTGCTGAGTACGGCGTTAAACAACAAACAAACCAACCAACAATCTTTTACATACATGATGTATCATCACTTGATTGTAATCTGGGTTATATTTGCTAATCTGTTGTTCTGACAACAGTATTTAATAGTCTGTACACTGTGGGGTATCTATGATAAAGTGTCTAGGTATCTCAGTGGGCTATATAATCAGCAAACATGCATGCAATACACATCGTTGTATAAATGCAGTAATCTTGACTGCAATGTTTCATGTCACCTCACCTCATCTCATCTCCCCTCCCCGTGTTGCAGTACGAACTGTGTCTGAGGAGTGGTCATCTAGCGGCGACTCCAAGAATGAAGAGGAGGAGCGTGAGCGTCGTTCTCCCCGAGAGAAAGACAGCAAGGATAAAGACAAAGACTCCGACAGTAAGAACATAATAATCATATTGTTCCTTCCGTTTCTCTTAGTGTTCATATTTTGGCCAGATTCTTTGTTGTGTAATGCCGCACTCAGCAATGTTCCAGCTATATGACGGCCATCTGTAAGTTATCAAATCTGTACCAGACATACCAGTGATTTATAGTATGAGCATCGATCTGGGATACCGTGACATGCATCAACGAGTCAGCGAGCCTCACAAACCGATTCCATTGGTCACATCTTAACTCAAACATGTGTTGCTGAAGACCAGTTCTAACCCAGATCTTCATGGATTTCTATATTTTAGCCAGAAATTACTTCAAACTACTTTGTAGCATTCACGAAAATACCTTTAGGTCTATTTTGGTAAATATGCTCTCTCTCTCTTTTCAGCGGAAATTATTCGAGTGTTTGATGGGAACGCCTCGTTAAAGAGGCGACTCTACCGCACAATATCAGTCCCCAGGAACGCATCAGCTCAAGCCATCCTGGTAAGAGTTATGTCCTGTTATGTACTTCCCTATATTTTTAATATTTCAGAAGTACAATTTTTTACAAAGGCTAAATTATTTTTGTCAAATGTTTCTGTGAAGTGATGAGTAATAGCCTGTTACTAATTTCCATAATAACTGAGCCTTGCTCTTCACTCTCTGGACTGGATTCACAAAAATACAACAAGGAAAGGCAGTTACATCACCCATCCATTATAAAGAAAGTAGGAAAATTTGAATCTGATCTGTAACTTCAAAATGTTGCATGTCAACTTGCAGGAGGCGGCTCTGAAAACATTCCACATATCAGATGATCCCAAAAATTACTATGTGTCGGAGGCGTCAGAGACAGGTAAGTGGGTAGTTAGAACAAGTTGACCTCGTTGATGACGCTCCACTAAATGGATGTGCTTATTTAGGTTTTTATAGATTAGTTTGTTTAGATAGAAACAGTATGTATTTGAGGGGGTATTCTGTGCTCATTGACCCCTTGAAGCCCCATAGTATTGTCACAATATGCCTTGCAAAGACTGTAGTATTGTCACAGTGTTCTTGCAAACACTGTAGTATTGTGCCAAAGTCCCTTGCAGACACTCTAGTATTGTCACAATGTCCCTTGCAGACACTCTAGTATTGTCACAATGTCCCTTGCAGACACTTTAGTATTGTCACAATGTCCCTTGCAGACACTCTAGTATTGTCACAATAATCCTTTCAGACACTCTAGTATTGTCACAAAGTCCCTTGCAAATGTTGTAGTATTGTCACAATGTCCCTTGCAAATGCTGTAGTAGTAGCCCTGTAGTATTTTCACAGTGACCCCTTGAAACCCTTTAGTATTGACACATTGACGCCTTAAAGCCCTGTAGTATTGTCACAATGACCCCTTGAAGCTCTGTAGTATTATCACTGTGACCCCTTGAAGCTCGATCTGTAGTGTTGTCACTGGGACCCATTGAAACCATGAAGCATTGCCAAAGTGACCCCTTGAAGCCCTGTAGTATTGTCAGTGACCCCTTGAAGCCCTGCAGTCTTGTTACAGTGACACCTTGAAGCCTTGTAGTATTGCCACAATGACCCCTTGAAGCTCTGTAGTATTGTCAGTGACCCCTTGAAGCCCTGCAGTCTTGTCAGTGACCCCTTGAAGCCCTGCAGTCTTGTTACAGTGACCCCTTGAAGCCTTGTAGTATTGCCAAAGTGACCCCTTGAAGCCCTGTAGTATTGTCAGTGACCCCTTAAAGCCCTGTAGTCTTGTCAGTGACCCCTTGAAGCCCTGCAGTCTTGTCAGTGACCCCTTGAAGCCCTGCAGTCTTGTCAGTGACCCCTTGAAGCTCTGTAGTATTGTCAGTGAATTTGAAGACCTGTAGTATTGTCACAGTGACCCCTCGAAGCCCTGTAGTCTTGTTACAGTGATCGCTTGAAGCCCTGTAGTGTTGCCAAAGTGACACCTTGAAGCCCTGTAGTATTGACACTGTGACCCCTTGAACCACTGTTGTATTGTCACAGTGACATTTTGAAGCCATATAGTATTGTCAGAGTGACACCTTGAAACCCAATTTTATTGTCAGTGACCCCTTGAAGCCCTGTAGTACTGTCACAGTGACCCCTTGAAGCCCTGTAGTATCCTCAGTGACCCCTTGAAGCACTGTATTATTGCCAAAGTGACCCCTTGAAGCTGTGTATTATTGCCAAAGTGACCCCTTGAAGCTCTAACATTGTCACTGTGACCCCTTGAAGCTCTGTATTATTGCCAAAGTGACCCCTTGAAGCTCTGTAGTATTGTCACAGTGACCCCTTGAAGCCCTGTAGTATTGTCACAGCAAGCCCTTGAAGCCCTGTAGTATTTTCACAGCGACCCCTTGAAGCTCTGTAGTATTGTCAAAGTGACCCCTTGAAGCTCTGTAGTATTGTCACAGTGACCCCTTGAAGCCCTGGAGTATTGTCAAAGCAAGCCCTTGAAGCCCTGTAGTATTGTCACTGACCCCTTGAAGCACTGTATTATTGCCAAAGTGAGCCCTTGAAGCTCTGTAGCATTGTCACAGTGACCCCTTGAAGCTCTGTAGTATTTTCACAGTGACCCCTTGAAGCTCTGTATTATTGCCAAAGTGACCCCTTGAAGCCCTGTAGTATTTTCACAGTGGCCCCTTGAAGCTCTGTATTATTGCCAAAGTGACCCCTTGAAGCCCTGTAGTTTTGCCAAAGTGACCCCTTGAAGCCCTGTAGTTTTTCCAAAGTGACACCTTGAAGCCCTGTAGTATTGTCATAGCGACCCCTTGAGGCTCTATAGTATTGTCATAGCGACCCCTTGAAGCTCTGTAGTATTGTCATAGCAACCCCTTGAAGCTCTGTAGTATTCTCACAGAACCCCTTGAGGCTTTGTAGTATTCTCACTGACCCCTTGAAGCCCTGTAGTATTGCCAAAGGGACCCCTTGAAGCCCTGTAGTATTGCCAAAGTGATCCCTTGAAGCTCTGTAGTATTGCCAAAGAGACCCCTTGAACCCCTGTAGTATTTTCACAGTGACCCCTTGAAACTCTGTAGTATTGTCACAGCAACCCCTTGAAGCTCTGTATTATTGCCAAAGTGACCCCTTGAAGCCCTGTAGTTTTTCCAAAGTGACCCCTTGAAGCCCTGTAGTATTGCCAAAGTGACCCCTTGAAGCCCTGTAGTTTTTCCAAAGTGACCCCTTGAAGCCCTGTAGTATTGTCATAGCGATCCCTTGAGGCTCTGTAGTATTCTCACAGCGATCCCTTGAGGCTCTGTAGTATTCTCACTGACCCCTTGAAGCCCTGTATTATTTTCACTGTGACCCCTTGAAGTTCGGTAGTTGTGCCAAAATGACCCCTTGAAGCCCTGGAGTATTGTCACAGTGACCATTTTGCCATATATATGCATGTTCACATGATATGTTGCATGGCTATCGTACATAGGTATTTGCTGCATGCCTTTTTGTTTGCTGTAGAATTTATTTTCTTATAGCAGTTTTTCATTGCTTTCAGTGAATGTTGTAGGTGAGAGGGAGCTAGAAGAAAACAGTCCAATTCGATCGCAGCTTAAGACCCCTGATGGAAAGCGGCCGTCCATATTTCTACGATACAAGGACAAAAACCCAGACAAAGGCCATATTAGAGTGTACCCAGGCGGACTCCGATACAGGTAATTACACCACACAGGTACTCATCATGTCGGCATTGGAAAGCCATGTTTGAGTTGCCAAGCTGGGCTGTGATAAGCAGACAGGCCACACAGAAATTGAATGGAGTTGTATAATGTTGGAATGGTCAAACAATAATGCTGATGAAACAAACATGATGAGGAAAATTGAAATATCATCTGCCATTTTTTTGGAAGATCAGCTGTATGCATTCAGTTCCTTTTGCCGCAAGCAACACTGATTGCCTAGTTAACGCATTTTGGTCTGGTAAGGTCTCCTAAATTAAGAATAATCCATATTGTTACGAGTAAACTGTGATGAAAAAATCTCCAAAAGATACTTTGCAACCAGTAAAAAATATTTGTTGGCTTTGGATGATATTGAAAAAAGAAGGCCCTCACCAAAACACCCAATGGCAACTACTATATTCAAATAATGTGTTATTATAGACTATTGACTGGTTGTGAAAGTAGATAAAAACTAGCCCTCTCCCACATCATCTACCCAGTGACCAGGAGCACAGAGACCTGTAGTTTGAACTTTGATACATTGCTTAGTAATGTGACAGTTCAGTTCCATCAATCAATTTTAGAAATAATAATACAAAATTATATGGAAATGTCTATATAGTTGCAAACAGTTCATAGATCTGATGAGTAATGTTTTAAATCATGTATATGATTTGTTTTGGCACAACTAATTTTGTGTTTCAGCATTTGCCATCGAGTGTCCGCAGGCTACAAAAACATCTCGGTCAACAAAGAGATGACCGCTGAGGAAGTCATCACCACTGCACTCAGGAGGTTTGGAGTTGAAGTAAGTGGCCAGTCACATGACACGTCATGTGATTAGATCATGTGATCAAAGCATGTGACCATACATTTTGACTATGTTTGACATCAATTTAATTCAACAACAATTTTGGTATTACATTTATGTTGAAGCAAGGATATCGCTTGTTGTTAGGGGGGGGCACAGGTGGCCCAGTCGTCTAAGGTGCCGCAATTCGCTGTTGTATGCCTTGGGCATGCAAGAAACCTATGATTGTGGGTTCGAATCCCGGTTCCCAGTTAAAAGCAGCGTTAACCCAACTCACTCACTCACTCACTTGTTGTTAAGATGGATTAGTAAAGGGAGATTACTCAGAATGTATTAAAATTCAGATGAAATTCCAAGAGGCATATATTGCAGTATATCACAAGCAGAGTTCTTATATTAGTCCCTATGTGAGGCCGCATTCCAAAAGGCATTCTCATCGCTACAGCTATTGTTGAGCAATGGGGAAGTATGGGAGTTATACCACATGTAGCACTAAGAACTTTCTGGGTTGAAAAATCCACAGGTCCAAGGTCCTGGACCAACATATTTATTAATGGGACCTCACAATTTATTCATAAATAAGTCTGATAGACCAGCCTATTTCATTCACTGATGTTACAAATAATCTGATGTTTTTGCTTATTGTGCATTACTCCTTAATGTATTTACTGCTTTTTTTTAACAGAAAAGGAAACTGTGTGACGTCCAGCTGAAGAAAAAGTTGTTCCAACCAGTTGTAAGGCTGGCCCCATCACACTGCTTCCACATGACCACGGAAGTGATGGCGTCATGTTTATTTAGTGTATTTAATAACCCTTTAACTAGGTTCAAAGTTTGGGTACATTTGGTCACCCGGCGCTTCCAGCACCCCCTGCTCTACTTGCATCTCCTGTGCTTTTTGTGCCTACTGTGACTACACCTCTGGTTATCATTGGTGATCCTTCTTCCCCTAGGGTCCCATCTTCCCATGGTTCAACATCACCTGGAGCCTCCACCAGGTATACTTCTAAGTCGTCACAATCTAGACACCGTTCCAGGAGCCGCTCACCTGGAGCCTCCACCAGGTATACTTCTAAGTCATCACGATCTAGGCACCGTTCCAGGAGCCGCTCACCTGGAGCTTCCACCAGGTATACTTCTAAGTCGTCACAATCTAGACACCGTTCCAGGAGCCGCTCACCTGGAGCCTCCACCAGGTATAATTCTAAGTCATCACGATCTAGGCACCATTCCAGGAGCCGCTCACCTGGAGCCTCCACCAGGTATAATTCTAAGTCATCACGATCTAGGCACCATTCCAGGAGCCGCTCACCTGGAGCCTCCACCAGGTATACTTCTAAGTCATCACGATCTAGGCACCGTTCCAGGAGCCGCTCACCTGGAGCTTCCACCAGGTATACTTCTAAGTCATCACGATCTAGGCACCATTCCAGGAGCCACTCACCTGGAGCCTCCACCAGGTATACTTCTAAGTCATCACAATCTACGCACCTTTCCAGGAGCCGCTCACCTGCCTGATGCTCACAGGATTACCACTCCATTTCTTCAGAGGGATCGTTTGTGCCGCATTAGGGGACGTCGTCATCCGAGAGGGATAACCATCTCAGCTGATCTCAGATGCCTGATTGGATGGCCAACCGACTGGCTGCAGTAGCGCCTTCGCTGGTGGCGGGAGTTGACAAGAATGACATGATATGGTCACAGCCCACTTCCATTCCACCAGATCCTATGCTCAAAGATATGGTCACAGTGTTGGATGAGAATTTTGCCCAGCTGTCACTCTCTCCAGCCTTCAAATTACCCAGGTTCAAGCAGAGAAAACTTCCCCATCCATGCTTTTGAGGTGGCGGACATTGCTCATGCCTTGGACGATTCCAGAATGGCGTTCCTCGTCTTGTACGATCTTACCAAGACAAATGTCAACCAAGTGGATCATCTGCAGATGGTCGTCTTTTACCAGCAGCGGGCAGATTGACCACTTGAGAAATGCCCTTAAAGCTGCCATTGCTGAAATTAGTGCCACTTGCCATCTCGGATACCTAGCCCTTACCAGTAGGGACTCGGCATGGTGTAGGACTTCGCTCTTTGATGGCCAAATATAGGACACATACTCACGGGTCTCAAATTATGCGCGAGACGAGACGGCCCTCAAAGCACTTGAACTTATCTCCCTGAACCTATATCAACGTTCTTCTAGGATAGCAACTACCATGCTCGACACTCCTCCCTGAAGGACCAGGTTCCAGATCAGTCTTCGCTTTGAGGGAGACGTGTAGTCACAAGGGAAAGGGAAACATAAGGACTCCTATCAATTCCACCGTGGCAAGTTCCACAGCAGGTTTGGGGACAGGAAGGGGAAACAGTGAACCCCCGGACAACCCCGACTGGGTCCTCCCACTCCCAAACGTCCAAGTTGTTGACGGACCAGTAGATGGGAGAGTAGGTCTCTTCTGACAGAATTGGGCCATCTTGGAAGACCCATTCTTTCCTAACATCTTGCACTTCAGGTACCGCCTGTCGATGGCATTGGACCCGCCGTTGACCACAGCTCCACCCCATGGCTATACCCCAGAAGCAACATCTACTTCTGGTGGTGATGCACATTTTGTTGATCATCATAATGTCATAGAGACTGTGAACGCAAGAGCCCAGGCCGCTACCTGCATGTACCTATCCATCCCAGCGACTGGAGATATCTCAGGTACCACCAGTTCAATGGTGTCTACTACCAATGGGCGATTCACCCATTTGGCATTTCAGTGGCCCGGTGACTATTTACCCGCATCACCAAGCCAGTGGCCTCCTACCTCCACCTGAGGAACATTCGGTTCAAGTACTATATAGATGATTGTCTTCTTAACCATCCGGACGTGGCGACCCTGCTCCTTCACTGGGATTTTACCAGGCGCCTGCTCCATCAGCTGGGATGGATGGTCAACAATGGAGAAGTCGGAACTCACCCCAATATACTGACTTCAATTCATAGGAGGCCTGTTTCAGACAGACTGGGCCTCCTGATGGTTCATGGGACAGGTGGCTCAAGATACTGCGCCATCTGACTCACACAGTGTTCGCACAGCTGATTGGGGGGGCCCTATGCCACCATGCATTGGTTGGTAAGTCAGTTTTTAAACTCTAGCACACGCTATTTTCTATAGCTGCATTTTACCTGGACGCCCTCATTTTCTCTTCCTTCCACGGTCAGGATTGGTCGAGTGGCAGCCAGTCTTCGCAATTGATGTGCTGGACAGCTGCCGTGACGTTCTTGAGGACCACATCTGAAGGTCTGCCATACCGTCTGATTCAGATGCATAAGGAGTAATGCAGGATAAGTTAACAAATTTAGTAAAACAAAATATTTTTTACATTTGTATTCTTATCCTGCATTACCACCTCTAAGGGCCCGCCTCTATGTCTTCAGATGTTGCCATTCAAGCAGTAATGTGAGGTATCCGTGACATTATCACATCCGAGGATGCATGGCAGCTGTGCGATGGGGCCTGCCTCACAACTGGTTGAAACAACTATTTCTTCAGCTAGACCTCACACAGCTTCATTTTCTGTCAAAAGAAAGCAGCAAATGCATTAAGGAGTAGTGCAGTAGTATACACATGTAAAATGGCAATGAAATGAACTCTTAATTTTTCCTGGTAGTTATGTTCTCCGTGGTGTGTTCAGGATGCTGACCCAGACAACTACAGCCTGATCGAGGTGTTGCTAGACCGCGGTGTCAACGAGAGGGTGCTGATGCGGGATGAAAGGCCATGGCAAATTATACAACAAAGTAGAAAAGTGAGTAGACATGTTTCTTCTTGTTGTGTGTGCATCTTTCATGGCAACTGTCCCGAACCTTTCGTATTTGTTACAAACTTAAATAAGAAAATGTGATTTCCTTAATACGAATAATGTGCCAACAAACAAAATATGACAAGGACTAATTTTTCATAGACACCGGAAAAGAGAGGGTAATTATTTAGCTATACACCTTCCACAGTGAACATGAGCATATAAGTCAAGTGTCAAATCTAGGCACTCCTCTCATACTATCATAGTTGCTGAAGTCGAAATAGAAATTAAGCGATATTATTAACAATTAGTTTTGGAATCTCATCATCGGGCTTTGGTTTCTTGACTCGAGGATAGTAACAACTTTCTACTTTGTAAATTTGCGAAAGTTAGCGGTTGTGGTTTGTCTGAGCCACACTTCATTGTTTGCAGGTTGCCATCATATAGCTGCAATATTGCTTTGTGCAGAGTTAAAAAAACAAGCAAAATGTAAGATCAACTGCGTTTGTGTGTTTATCTGATATTTTTAGATTTACTGTTCTTTATATGGTCTTTTTAATTTTGATTTTTCTTAATTTCAGGATTCGTTACGGCAGAATCGCATGACTCGGTTTTACCTCCAACAGAAGGAGGACCCACATGGGCCAGCTATCTCCATGTTTGTGGGCAATTTACCAACAGGCTTGTCGCAGAGGCAATATGAGAAAATTTTATTAGATATAATTGGAAAAGGTGAGAAAAACATTCCCTCATTTAAAAAATCCTTCATTACATTTTTGTTAAACACTGTTTCATTTATATTCAGTTACAGTAATTGAGGATTAACTTTGGAGAATCCTGCTTTCAGATTTCGACATTTTCATTGTAGGTTAAGACATTGTACTCAGTGCTAATGTGCAAATGAGATTTGGCTCTAGGATACTTGTTGAAAACTAGATGGATTTATTTATGATTCTTACTGTCAATTGAACCAAGCTGAGTGTCCCTGAGCCCTTGGGAATCTTCTCTTACTTCCTACAGTGCTAACACTGTGATATAAATGGAATACTGTTACAAGCAGCGTTAACCCAACTCCCTACAGTGCTAACACCATGATATAACTGGCATACTGTTACAAGCGGCGTTAACCCAACTCCCTACAGTGCTAACACCATGATATAACTGGAATACTGATACAAGTGGCGTTAACCAAACTCACTCACTCACTCCTACAGTGCTAACACCGTGATATAAATGGAATACTGTTACAAGCAGCGTTAACCCAACTCCCTACAGTGCTAACACCATGATATAACTGGAATACTGTTACAAGCAGCGTTAACCCAACTCCCTACAGTGCTAACACCATGATATAACTGGAATACTGTTACAAGCGGCATTAACCCAACTCCCTACAGTGCTAACACCGTGTTATAACTGGAATACTGTTACAAGCGGCGTTAACCAAACTCACTCACTCACTCCTACAGTGATAACACCGTGATATAAATGGAATACTGTTACAAGCGGCGTTAACCCAACTCACTCACTCACTCACTCCTACAGTGCTAACACCGTGATATAACTGGAATACTGTTACAAGCGGCGTTAACCCAACTCACTCGATCACTCACTCCTACAGTGCTAACACCGTGATATAACTGGAATACTGTTACAAGCGGCGTTAACCCAACTCACTCACTCACTCATAATCCTTCAGTTTAGAATGTTCAAGTTCAGATTAACTTGCTCTTAATATAAGCTGAATTCTCTTCTTATTTACCTGCTTGAGTTGTACGTTTATTTGTGTCCTGACTCAGCAGTCCGTAAACATTGAAGTAAGCATGGTAAGAAAGAATATATTCTGAGTGCATGATGTTGCAATGTACTTAATGTTGTTTATACCTTTATCTCCTCAGAATTGAAGTGGCAAAGCTTTGATGTGATATACTATGAGTACGGCGCGTTGGTATTAGTGTACACGTCGCCGGAGAAAGCTACGCAAGTCTTCAACATTTTAAAGGATGCAGTTTTTGATGATAAGCAACTTTTAGTTATGTTACTCCCAAATATACAAGTAAGTACGATTGCAGTCTCGAAAATATAGCCATTAGGCCCTTGCTTAATAAAATTCTGTTCAATATAGTAAGCCCAGCTGGTTATAGTCCATGTAATAACACTAAACCCTGCTGAAATGATCCTAACAGACCACTGTGGGCATGTAGACTCAAGTTTCAGCCCCTATGAAGCTTATCGTAAGAGCTTGTCATAAGAGCCCGTCGTAAGAGCCCATCGTAAGAGCCTATCGTAATAGCTTGTCATAAGGTGATTAACAGGATCAAGTGTCAGTCTTGCCAACTTGGTTGCTGCATGCCAAGTATGTGTCCCAGTTCAGTGCTCGTAATGTCAATCACTGGATTGTCTGGTCCAGATTTGATTATTAACAGATTAATAGCTGTTGTGGACAATACTCAGCCCTGAATTCTAAGCTGACAACATACTATTTTAGGCGAAATTCACTGTCGTCATTTGACCAGATATATATCAATTCACACTTTAGCTCAGTTGCTTTCCGTAATTTAGGAATTAAAGGGGTAACGTCGTGATTCAGCCTTCATCCACCTCAATCACAACCATTGACAAAGGATATTATTGTTAGTGTCAGCATTTTGAAGGTGCAGTTTTTGTATGAATGCAACATTTAGTTATACTGTCATGTGGCTTCATGTGGCTCACTCCTTCACTGAATAGACTAGCCTCCATGGTGTAGTGGACAGACTGCAAGGTCGGTTGTTTGATCCCTGGCCACGTTATGCCCAAAGACGTAAACAAATGGTACTTGTTGTTACCCTGCCTGGCGCTCGACATTAAGGAGATAAAGTAAGGCCTGGTCAGCTCAGAGTCAGTGCTGTGTCTGAGTGGTTTATTCATGTAAAACTGGGCATGGTATCTCAGTGTGCTATCACTATAAAATCGGCATTAGTCCAGACTAGTACAAACAGCCAGACACACACACGCACGTCGCTATATATGTGCAGTAATCTTGGAACGCGACGTTAAACCTAATTTCACCTTACATCATGTGTTGTGTTCTGATTACTACAGCACCCACAGTTATCATTACCTTACCTGACCTCATTTCATCTCACCTTGCCTCGCCCCGCCCTACCCCGCCCTACCCCGCCTTGCCTCGCCTCGCCTAATACAAGTTATGTAGTTATGTCATCTTTGGTCTTCAGGCCCACATGATTCCAGAAAACGTGAATCCACTGCTCGTGTTCGTCAACGTCAAGAGTGGTGGATGTCAAGGTCTGGAACTCATAACGTCTTTCCGCAAACTCCTCAACCCTCATCAGGTCTTCAACCTGGAGAACGGAGGCCCACTACCAGGGTAAGTGAAGCTCCAACAGAGCCGATTTTACCAGACATCAGATATTGTGTCCTATTGGCATACAGATCACATTGAGGGGATCATAAATTTACGTACAATGGGAGAAGACCTCAAGCACCCTTCTTCATTTCAACAACTTCAAATTGTGGATGGATGCAATACTTTTTGATGCCCTCATTTTGAAATACAGGTGGGATTCACCATGTCCGTCCTTCTGTCCGTCCATATTCAGTTTCCAAAACCTTGAAATATCACTTGTTGAAACTTGCTATATAGATCAGTCTAGTTGGCAACTGGTGCCTTTTGGTGATTTGGGATTTAAAAAAACAATTAGTTTTTGCCATGACAACAAGTTGAAAATGAGGGATAGTGCTGGTTTCCAGAGCAGAACTCCAAAACTGTTGAATGTTTCAGAATGAAACCTGTTATACAGATCAGTCAAGTATTGAACTTGTGCCTTTTGATGATTTGGGATTTTGAAATATACCAAAGAGCATTATTTGTTTTTTCACTGAACTGAAGGTATCCAATGGCAATGAACCAAAAGTGGGGATTTAGTAGACAAATTCGATTTCCTGACTGCACCAGAGCAGGGGGATATGTCTTCTCCTGATAACTCTTTTACTTTACATGTAATCAAAGTTGTAGGTTACATATTACATGTAACCGACGTATCTACTCTGGTGAGAAAAATACTCAAAGTTCAGTGTCAGTGGTTGATTTTCTTCAATCTTACATTGAAATCCCATTTCAATAGTAATAAATAGGCTAAAGGCATTGGAGCAAGTGTAATGATATGACATCGGTAAAAGTCTTAGAAATCAAATTAAGCGTGCCACAGGTCACTAGCCTGGGACCCCCATGTTAATGTAATAGACCCCTTGTTCGTGCCTATCACCCCCATCATGTATTGCTGAGGGTCCCCTGGAATTGAAAATAGATAGACCCAGATATATCTCTGGAACATGGGAAGAGTAGGTAAGGGCAGTAACTCTCACTTATTGTGTGTACAGTGTTGACATGATGTTGTTTTGTTGTTTCAGGTTGTATGTGTGTAGAAACATCTCCTACTACAAGATCCTGGTGTGTGGAGGTGATGGCACAGTGGGCTGGGTTCTGTCCTGTCTGGACAACGTGGGGCAGGATGCTGTCTGCCAGTCTCCACCCATGGCGGTCGTTCCCCTGGGCACAGGTAAGCACAGACCAACACAGTCATGCTGAAATATGACCACAGTTGGAATCATATGGAACTATGAACTTCCTGTCCATTCTGAAACATTTTCATGACGTAATTGCCATGACTCTAATCTGTGAAAGAAGATTCTGGGAACTACCTGTACATAGGGCCTGTAACCTGAACTGTTGTCCTATCTGAGAATCTGAGAGCACAGGGGGCAAAGTGGGCCGAGGTGCAGTCCTCCTAGACCCACTGGTCATAGGATTGAATCCCATAGCAGTAACTAGACAGTCGAAACATACCCATCACTAACTAGCATAAGGTTCCATCTACAGTAATGCAGTGATCTTCATCAATACTTCATAGGCATCTACCCGACTGACTGTGTGTTTGTGTTGTGCAGGCAATGACTTGGCACGTGTGTTACGCTGGGGACCCGGCTACACTGGAGGGGAGGACCCACTCAACCTTCTCCGGGATGTCATAGATGCCGAGGAGATCAAGCTGGACAGGTCAGTTGTTCTAGGCATCAACAACTGCAGTCCAGAAAGGATTTGACATTGTTGAAATATGTTTCTTGCAATATTGTCAGCATATGTCACCATTTATGTCTTTCAGGTTGAAAATTAATAAGTCACATTTAATCCTGGCCAATCCTATCCCAGTTTATTTTGACTCTGTATCATCTTGTATCTTATTGACAATTTAGGTTTTTACTGTTTGTCACATAAGCTTGGTATTGAGGAATACAGTGTTTCATCTGCCTGATTGTGTGTCATTGTGTCTGTATGTCATGGAAAGATCCGGGTTAGAATTTGTCTCGAGCAACCAATGTTTGTCATAAGAGGCGACTATGCTTGTCATAAGAGGCGACTATGCTTGTCATAAGAGGCGACTATGCTTGTCATAAGAGGTGATAATCGGGTGGTCAGACCAGACTTTGTTGATTCATGTCATCATATCTCAATCGCATCGATCGATGTGCATGGTGTCAATCACTGGATTGTCTGGTCAGGACTTGATTGTTTTACAGACTGCCATCATATGGGTGGAACATTGTTGAGTGCGACCTTAAATAACAAGGAAACGTCATGGACCATTGTTCATGCAGTCAGCCACTGCTTTTATAAAAGACCACCTCCGTAGATGAGTGTCCGCCCCGAGAGAGCAAGGTCCGAGGTTTGATCCCCGGCCATGTCGTACCAAAAGACGTTAAATGATAGTACTTGTTGTTACCCTGTCTGGTACTCGGCATTTAAGGGCTAAAACAAGGACTTGTTGGCTCAGAGTCGGTACACTGTGTCTGAGTGGGGTATTCATGTTAAACTACGGCATGGTATCTTAGTGGGCTGGCACTATAAAATCGGCAATAGTCCAGACTTGTGCATGCAGACCACAAGTGTGACATAAAACCCTAGTTCACCTCACTGCTTGGACTAGAACAGACTTGATGTATTTACAGTCATCCATGATTTTGCTAGAATACTGATGACTCTGCAGTAAAACAAAATTCACTCTTTTCATTTATTTCATCTGTTGTGTGTAAAGATTTTCAAAATCACAGTGGGTATTGTATGACTATGATGAACGTGAACGAGACCCTGAGTGAGATGTTCTATTGCCAGGTGGACCGTGATATTCCATCCGAGGGAGAGGGAGAAGGATTTGGCTGAGGCGAAAGTGAACATTGCCAACGACACTAACACTGCCAACACCAGCGAGGACACCTCGTCAATATTTGTGATGAACAACTACTTCGGCATTGGGATTGATGCAGACTTGTGCTTAGATTTCCACATGGCTAGGGAAGAAAAACCAGACAAGTTTAATAGCAGGTATGTGTTTTAGAAAGATTTTAACTGGGATTTTTAGATTAATCTATTTTTTTAAAACTTCTGTCCTAAGAAATTAAAACCTAATATGTGCGGCCTTTTTTAGTCATTGATCGCTACATCATTGGGCTGGTATTAAAAATAAATATAAAATGTAGAAAGTTTGTTTTGTTTATATGATCTGTAGTGTTGCTAGCATGTAAAAAATAATGTAATACAGAAAATATGAAATGAAGTAAAAGGGTTATTTACCTCCCAATATTGACGTACAGTCAAGTCCTGTTAATCCGACACTGTTGGTTGCATATGATTATGTCAGATTAACGTGTATGTCGGATAAACGAAATTTGGTCGTATAAACGTTCGTGATCGAAAATTGGAGTCGGAGTGCGAGACTGTCGGATTAACGGGTCTAAAAAGCACTGATTATATTGGTTCCCATCATTTGTGTCGGATAAAGCCGATTGTCGAATAAACGAGTGTCGGATTAATGAGACTTGACTGTATATTGAATATTCTTTTCATAACTGAAATGGGTTACCATACTAGACCATGTTGGCAGGGAGAAAGAGAGATTTTTATGTTACAAATGTATTCCACACTTGTGATATTTTTAGCCGAAAGATGGACGTAAGCACCTGAGCTTCAAAAGGAGCAGAAATATGTCTAAATAGCTTGCATCTTTCCGACACAATTGTGCAGACCATTGAAACAGTAGTCAACTCTCTTTTACCAGATTACACAACAAGGGAGTGTATTTGAAAATGGGACTGAGAAAAATGGTGAATCGAAAATCTTGCAAAGATTTACATCGCCACATCAAGCTTGAGGTGGATGGCAAGCTGATTGACTTACCTCAGGTAGAGGGAATCATTATTCTCAACATCCTCAGTTGGGCCTCAGGATCAAACCCATGGGGCCCTGAAAAGGAAGACATTTTTGCCAAACCAACTCACTATGACGGCATGTTGGAGGTGGTTGGTGTGACAGGGGTCGTGCACATGGGACAGATCCACAGTGGACTACGTACAGGGATGAGGATAGCACAAGGAGGACATGTAAGTCGTTAGACCCCATGGGATCCTAGGTTACAATTGGTCCCCAGCAGCCTATGCTGGTCATAAGAGGCGACTTAATGGATCAGGTGGTCAGGCACAGTGACTTGTTATTGGCACTTCATGGCACTCTGTCAGCGTGGATCGCTGCTCACAATACCGATCACTGGATTGTCTGATCCAGACTTGACACACAGACACATTCTATGGCATTGTGACATTATTGTCGACTTGTATCAGGATCCTTTGGAATTCCACGCCTGAAAATGCGGAATATTTGGCGCACAACTCCATGCTAACTTGGGGATTAAAGAGCAACAGTGTCTGTTCAGCATTTTAGTATTTGAATTGGAGACAAGGGAAATCCAGCTTTGCTATGACCTTGTTATTCAGTGTACAGTATTTCCCTGACAACTTAGATTGTTGCTATTGAAGACAGATTTCTGTTATCTAGCTGAAATATGTCTGACTGTGGCATAAAACACTTTTCAATGTCAGCGTACTTTGTATAATTTTTGGAGATTACACAAAATGATTAATGCAAGAATCAATCTTAAAACTTACCATCAATTTAACATTTGCAATAAATATATCTTACCACTATTCGACAAAGTGATATTTCTTTAAAGTAACTTCACCGATCACACACCAAGGTGGAACTCTTTTGTGTGGGAGACAGGAAATACTAGTAATACTAGGGAGGGTGGTTTGGGTCTATTGGAAGTTGTGATCTTAACTTTCGGTGGTTGTAGCTGAAGATTGCATTGTGGAATGGTGTTTTGATCTTAAAGAAAAGTTGTGATTGAGATCTAATTAGAAGTAACTCCCATGTTCTAATCTGGACTGTTAATAGTCATAGCATTATGAGGGGTAGTAGGGGGTGGCCTAGTGGTTAAAGCGTTCGCTCGTCACACCAAAGACCCAGGTTCGATTCCCCACATGGGTACAATGTGTGAAGCCCATTTCTGGTGTCCCCTGCTGTGATATTTCTGGAATATTGCTAAAAGCGGCATAAAACCATACTCCCTCGCTCATAGCATTATGATGGCTCTGTGGAACGAGTTTTCTCGATGTCTACTGAGTTGGTTTACAGCTATTTATGTGAGAAGGCTGATTGTGCATGGATAGTTGATCTTATGCTATAAGCCAGTTTTAACCAAACCACACCTGGTCAGGCAGTTGTGGCTAGCACAGCTGTCTGTGCAGATCCTTTCATGATGCTTTGTCAGTCCACACTGAACCCATCAGCTTGTGGCGCTGCCCTCGCCATGTTAGTAAATGCCTATACCTTCTTTGGACTTTTTGTTTCTCATTAAAATGAAATGCTGTGATAAGATTGCAGTACGTTTTACACCCGTATCATACTGAAGTCACCAAGTTTTTGGCACCTATGCCTGGAGTAAATTCATTCAATGTTTTGAAGGTTCGTTGTTTATTGTTACTGGAATGGAGTAATGTTTATCGTTGCATTGTATGATAATTATAAATTCTCTCTTCAGCTACGTATCACATTGTTGACGGATATCCCCGTCCAAGTTGACGGAGAACCATGGATCCAGCCAGCTGGCCAAGTGGTAGTTCTGCGATCAGCCCTCAAGGTATGCCAGTGCTATAGAAGTATTGCAACATACATCCATTGGTACACAGCAGAGTAGATGAATTATCCCTTCCTGTTGCGCCTAGGGCCCTAGACTTCAAATAAACTTCTTCTTGAACAGAGGATGAATACTTTGTTTTAACATTAAACAATTTACTCAAAGCTGTTAAAACTTGAAACATTGTTGTGGCGGTGGCATAACCTAGTGGTTAGAGCTTTCACTCGTCACACCGAAGGCCTGGGTTTTATTCCTCGCCCATGATTTGATTTTCCCTGCCTTGATATTGCTGGATTATTGCTAAAAACTTGCTCGTGAAACGCAGTATATGATATCTGCACAAAAAAAAGAAATGCAAAAGTTATGAGATCATAAATATCTGACAGTGTTGCTGACATCCATACAAAATTAATACCAAACATGAATTTATCATTTCTGCATTGATTGGGGTTGATTTGTGTGGAAGGAGGTACTCCAGAAATTTGGTGAAAAGATAGAAAAATGCCCCAAACACAACCATGTGAGAGCCTGGTGCCGAGACACACCAACATGACATGCACATGCAACATCACTTGTTGGGGTATAAACACGTTGTGTTTTCATTTGCATGCCTGGGTGGTTGGGTAGACTTGTGGTTAAAACATTTTCTCGTCAAGCACTTGGTTCGATTCCTGACATAGATACAATGTGTGAAGCCCATTTCTGGTGTTCCCCGCTGTGATATTGCTGGAATATTGCAATAAACGGTGTCAAACCATACCCACCCACTCACTCACTCATTTGCATGCCATCACAATCTTACAGCAGGTGAACAGCGAAAACATGCCACGACTGACATGAAGCCCAATGCTGCCATGTCATCATCCAACTGCATAAAGGAGAATCATCTTCGGCCATGGCCAGGTATTTGCGGATAGTACCTAGCACCATCACAAGACTGTGGAACAGTTATCATACACTCGGGACAACACAGGACTTTCCAAGATCCTTCCCAGATCTGGTCGACCACATGCTACTACCAGAGATTTGTACAGCTTCATCAGTTATGTGAAAGAACCACAATGACCACCTCTACAGCTATGGCGATACCAGGATTGTTTAGGATGTCAACACAGACAGTGAGGAACCATTTTTGCGCTGAAGGTATTCCCACTAGACGACCAGTTGGAGGGGTCATTTTGAGGGACCTGCATCGTCTGCTGCGACATCAATGGCGTCAAGGTCACAGAGTATGGCCACAAGTTTGGAGACAAGTTTGGTTTAGTGATGAGTCACATTTTATGCTTCGCCTTGTGGAGGGTAGATGTCATGTTCACAGGAGTCTTGGGGAATGTCATGCTCGAAAGGGCATACAGGAAGTGGACAGATCTGGCGGTGGTAGTGTGATGATGTGCGCAGCCATCTACACTGGTAGAACAGACTTGGCACAACAAGTAAACATCATATTCCAAGACAAAGCCCGACCTCACACGGCAAGACTTGACCACAGCCCGTGTGAGGAATAACAACATCCCGGTCCTGCCATGGCCCTCCAGGTCTCCAGATTTAAACCCAATCAAGCATTTATGGGATGCACTGGATCAACAACTGCGACAATTTCAACAATTGGCACAAGCACTGCAGGAAGAGTGGGTGAACATTCCCCAGGCCACATTTCAGGATCTGATTGCTTCCATGGGATGATGATGCCTGTCAGTTTTGGACTCTTATGGTGGCCATACAAGATATTGAGCACATATCACCTTCACATACTGTTCTATGTGCAGAGTTCGTCTCCTTGGGCACGCCAGAAACCTATGATTGTGGGTTTGAATCCTGATTATGTTTCTAGGTTTGTCAGCATCATACCCGTGCTCGTGGGTTTCACCGAAGTGGTAACCTTCTAAGACCTGCATCACTTCGGGTTTTCTTCCCACATTGAGCTGACACGCTGTGATATAACTGGAATAATGTTAAAAGCGGCGTTAAACCCAACTCACTCACTCACAGAGTGAGAATTTGCAAATTTGAAACAATCAATTACCATCTGTTGATTATTTATATGTTCCATTAAATATACATTTAAAATCACTTTTGCGTTTATGTTTTTGCAGAGTATATTTTGTATTTTGGCATGATTGGTAGATTCTCTGCTTGTTGACTCTGTGTAGATCTGGATAGTTTCAAATGACGAGCATGTTGTTTTTGTTTCATTAAGGGACATTGCTAAAGATTCTTTGCTGTGGTTTCTTACTATGGGCAGTTTCACAGGAATATGTGGTATTTTTCTTCAGGCTACTATGCTAAAGAAAAGCAAGAACAAGATCAAGAGGCGGAACACGGAGCCTAGTATCTTCTTCCCCGAGAATGAACCTCTCAAACCACAGTCTCCAAGTGAGGAGAGTGGACCCCTTTAACACTGTGAGTTACTTCCCCTTACGTCAGATTTATAAGGAGAACATATAAATGTCATGGAATGACCTATTGTCGCTATCTATGACTGCTTGACACTAACAATAACATGAGTACATGTTATCTGTTACACTAGCCTGGGTTTAATTGCAACCAATCCCATTAGAATCAGATCTTCTGTTCTGATGTTATACCTCTATGCATGAAGATCTGAGGACCAAGCCATAGAAGATATGAGGTGAACCCTGAGGAACTTTGACCTTAGCTTGAGGAGATAATCAGATGTCAACTGCCAAAGATGATTTGGCTTCATTTCTTTACCACATCAATTTAGAAATTTCTGTTTGTACAAGAGAACACAAATACTGTATTCGACGTAATAAGCGCCCACAGCGATATTTGCTAATATATTGGCTAGTGAACAACCCCAATAAGCACCCCTTCCGATTGATCAATGTACACTTATTTATTTGTGTTTAATACACCCTCGTGTGTTATATGCACCCTTAATAATGGGCAATTAAACTTTGGTAAATATATCTGTCGTGTATAATATGATCAGACTTATCTTTTGTATCATTTCAGGCTATTAGCATAAAGCATGAAATTTACAATCTTTCAACTCTGTTTTTTTTTTCTCACCAAAATTATATTCTAATAAGAGCCCCCTATTTCTAATTTCGAGAGTGCCCTGGACGCTTATTATGTCGAATACGGTATTGCATTAGAAACTAGTCCTGTGCCAAATTTCCCAATAGTTAAGGTATCATTAAGACTAGTAGACATTTGCCATTTTAAAGGGTTTTGCTATATGCTATCAGTATAAGGACTAGTGGACTGAACATGTTAGTTTCTACCGCTGGCTTCAGTCGTTCTCCCTTTTGGGTGCAGATGCCACGTCATGATTGACATTGTGGTCATCAGCAATGATGGTAAGCACGATGATGTTGAAGATGTTGATGTGACTATTTCAGATTAGCCAGTGAGATGGGCTGTGTATGTAGTGATGTACATATACATTATGCCAAAAGTAGCTGCAATAGTCTGGAGCTTGGTCGCTGGCCGAGGGAACCCTCACAAGGCAAGGACAAACGCACGAACAAGCAACTGATGGGCGAAGAGTCTGACAGTCAGATAGTGGACATTTAGGATACTGCGTCATGGAACAAACCTTGGTGCTTGCTGCCGTTTGGAAGGCGACTGACAAACCTGAGATGGAAATATGGTTGCTACCCAGTGGTAGGCCAATGATTTCAGATATGTTGCCATGTGTTGGTTGGCAGTTAACAGACTTAGGTTTGAGGTATGTTCACTTCTTTTTGTTAGATAACAAATTTGAACTATTTGTTGCCTAGCTTCAAGTAGTTTACACACTTTGATTTGAGATCTGTTTTCTTCCTGTCAGTAGGTCGAGTTGTCCATTGGTCATCATTGGGCAACGATGGACTTCGGATAGAGAAATGTTTGACTGTTCGACAATCAGACTGTGATATAGCAAAGCCCCGCAGAGCCGAAACGCGTACCTCAAGATTTGATTGGACATGTACCTGATATTGCAGATCTGCAGCAAAAGCTGGGCAGTATCTGATTGGCTGTTATTGTACATGGATCTTGCTGTGGTACAGGGAGGCAGTGGGTTTTCCTAGATTTGTGTAGTCACTAGCAAGATCAAATTTGCCATCTGTCATTTTACCCTTTTAAATGTGTCTTTTCCTTCAACTGTTCTCTGTGTCACCGGATTCAGACAAGGATTCTATGCATATTTTTAACTCCATTTTTACCCTAGCATAAGTATCAAACCATACGTATGTGTTGCCCCCCAGCTGCCAGGGTCGACCCATGGTCACTCTGAGCCGACTCTGTCGGTTGAAGGGGAAACAAAATACAGGAAACAACAAAACGAACCATTACGGTTATTTAGACCAGATAAAACTCATTGTTATAGAGGTTACTGTTATCTTGTTCTTGAACTATTGAGGTTTACCATACTGATAATTAGACCATGATAAGTATTTTAGTTGAACTTGAGATATCATACCTGCTGTGCTCTGTGCAAGAACTGGAAAGATTTTACCCGGAGTGTATGCATCACCACTGTCTTTAATAAAACTATTCAGAAGTCCATATAGCAAATATTAATGAAATTATGTCGTAAAAAAAAGTCACTTCAATCGCTTAACAATAAGGTCAATTTTGCAAGGCAGCATGCCAAGGGATCTAATTCAGAACAAAGGGGAGATAACTCAAAACCTGATTGTTTTGGAGACCATGCTCAAGTAACAGAAACATGAGCACCAGCTCATCTTGGTCAGTAGACAATGCATTAATTATTCATAGCCAAACATTTTATTTAGAACTTGTTTCCAATCTTTGTTGTTTTTGAAAGGTATCACTTGTCATATATATTTTTAAAATTATGATTACGTGCAAGTTCTGTAGTTCTTGCCAACATTGCTCGAAAATTGATTACATTTCACTCTAGATTTTGTTTGTTAAGTCGTAAATTTTATAAACTTTGCATTATTTGTTAAGTGTCCAAATTACACCTTGAACGTGAAGATACTTTGAAAGCAAATATCACTAATTTGATGGCTAAAACACACGCCAGTGAACATTGGTTAGGATATGCTGTTATGGACTTGCAGCTTCTACTTCCATAGCAGAGACACCTATGTAGATAAAGAATGTGAAAACAAAGGGGGAATAACTCCTTTATCTGATCTACTTCGTGGTTATGGGTTATAGGAATGACTAAATAGTGAAAATCTGGTCAGTATTTTGAGGTGTTGAATATGTTTCAATGTTACTAATACTAGAAATATGTATTATTAATAATGTAAATTTGTTAATTAGTTCACATTTATCCAGTACATAAGCAAAAATGTGATTTATAACTTTTGTTGTTACATAAACAGTTAGGTTTTAGATCTGGTTATGCCATGCAGTAATGCATTTTTGTGTAACCAAGGTGCTTGTCCTAAATATGAAAGTCTTCAAATGTTACCTACTTCTATTGTTTGTGGTAGGCTCCCTGTTAACAGCAAAGCATTCTTTTGACAAGAAACCAAATCTATTGTCGCCATTATTTTAGTATTGACATACCTCTTAATCCCCCCACTAGCTTTAGTGTAAGCAATCACATTCTCATATGGAAGGTGCCATTTGGAATTTTGGGGGTTGAAGGGCTAAACTAAGGCTAATTATTCAGATTACCAAGTTGACAAGGAAAAGAGTGTATTGCTCTCAAATCCTTAACAAAGGTCGTGTTATGTGAACAAAGTTGTCAAAGATATTTTCAGTCATAAAATGCTTCAATTTTTATTGTATCACTCATTATATTATTATACATATACTTATATATAAATATATATATAAATATAATAACGCTCAGAGATGTACCTAGTTCTCTCGTTCTGTAGAGGGATATGGAGCTTGTCCCATGCACCTTATGCGTTACCATTACTCTGTTTGTATGTATGTATGTACGTCAGTCTGCATGTCTGTACATAGTTACTTTTAACATACTTAGGAATTATTTCTCATTCAAAAATTCATCCATGCATATTGTCATTGCCATATATTTTGTTAAATTTTTCATCTATTTATTTGCATCGTCTTTATTTATACATGAAGGTTGGTGTTTTGATGGTATGTGTTAACAAACCAGAGAAAATTTGCTCGTTAATAACACAATTTACTTTAGTTGAGCAAGTTGGGTGTAAGATTGTATTTATTGTCACAAAAGTTCAAATCTAACAGATCTCATTGTAATGTGCTCGTGATTAGAAAAAAACAATGCTTCCTCCTGGCACTGAAGGTTAGATGAAGTTTAGCCCAGTCACAGAATCAACTCAGCTGGATTTTATTTATTGTTCTCTTATTTATTAATTTGTTCTGAATTTTTGCTGTTCAGGTGCTGTGAATAATGTTTTTCTCTCCATTGTGTCCAGCTACTAGTCTTGTTTTTTGGGTTTTTTTCAAACTTTTCACTGTTATGATTTAATCAAATCAAGCATTGTGTACTCTCATATTTCTTTCAATTTCACACTGATAATTTGATCTAATTTGCCAATTTTCATTGTTTAGATAAATAAATATTGTTATTTTCAAGTTCCATCGGGACCAACAAGTTTGTTATGTCGTAAGAACATACAATCTTCCTACTCACATTTATGTGATCAGCAACTGAAAAGGGGAATAATTCAGGAAGGGGAGATAATCACTTTTGTCTTGCATCAAAACAGTTTGTTAATAATAAATTCTGCTTGACCATTTCCATGATTTTTGCCATATTCCTCCATCCTTAGTACCTCATGACCAACTAAACCAGAAATCAAATTTTTCATCTTCTGGTCGACAATGATGACAGGGTCAGTTATGTTAAGTTTCTCTCTCCCTGTAACAAACTCATAACAGATCTGACTTCATAGCAGTAATATATTTAAATAAATACTGTTTGTGTAAATAGGATATTGTTGAAGGGGAAGGGGAAAGTGTAATGAAGGCATGGATGTCAAGTACACACTTACAGACCAGGCCAGGTCATCCTGCTGCTGTTTTGGGAGGCAAGACATTCTTTACCTGCTGGTAGTTGTATGGTATCCTGTAGTCCCTTCTGTCTTTCAATGACACTTAATTTCCCTTTTGCCTAACTTTTGTCCTTTTCAAGTCTTCAGGTAGAACAGTTATCTAGTACGAGTTCTTCTCGTTCTCTAGGTTGGTACATAGTTGGTCTTGGAATGTTATCGACCTCATTTCATGATTTAACGAAACTGTATTGCTTTTGAGACATATTTGCCTCTGTTTGCAACAGACTTTCTGTAGTTGGCATAGGAAATCATCTTTGAGAAAACCACTGTTATTTTTTTTAAGTATTCTGCAGGCATTAGCTTACAACATCTGATCTCCCACCTAACCTTGCTCAAATGATAGTCAATCATTGAAGGCGTTCAGAGTTACCTCCCTTGTCAACTTCACCTCTTGACCCAAGTGAAACAAACTATTCAATTTGAAACAGTCTTTCTGTAATGTTTTGAGGAAGTGTTTTTGAGTTTTATATCTCAGCACATTTATATATTTCATTTCTTGGTTTCATTCATTATATCTTAAAGATCTGTTTCAGTTACAGGGTTACAGCCTCGTGTGCTGTTTTTTTCTCCAACATGTAGGCTATGGTACTTCAAGTTATGATATTCAAGTTTGCTAGAATTTGATGGGTTTGTGTCAAGACCACAGATCATAAAGATATGTAAAATGTAATTCAAAATGATCTGGAAATATAACAGGCTCAAGGGGAACACGTTCTTGTTTCATTGTTCTGTGTATATCTTTTCTCTGACTGAAGCATTTCTCTAGAACCCTAGGATAGGCCTCGACTGTAGCGGGAAGCCAATGAGTGGACACTATCAAGTCTTGTGTAGATTAATATTGTGAGCTAGTTATGATGCTCACGTTGATGTGATACATCTGTATCCACAATAAACAGTTTAATTTTGTCACACTTACATTAACTGTTTTTCACTATTCAATTTTACGGCCATTTATAGAAAAAAGTTAGGGAGCCTAGCAAGGGGAGGTTTCACAAGCTGTTGCATCTTTTCTGCCTGTCCCTTTTGGGTTGGTGAAATACTTTTATTGCGCAAGAAATATTTCGGCTTGGAAACTGCATCAGTTCTACTGAAAGTGTAAGTGTATTACATATTTTATGGAGAAAGAATTTGAATTCATTGAAAAGGAGGTTGATTTATTTAGAAAAGAATTGAGAACTTGTGAGACATCCCCTAAGCCTTCCATGGTAGTCCTTGTAAAAAAGATGTGCAAAGCATAAAAGATGCTGTCTCCATGTTGATAAAAATGAACATATGTGTTTATATGAATCTTGAATATAGCGTTATATGGTGTATGCTCTGTTAAATTACTGTTATTCAAAGTATTGTTTATACCAGCTTGTACAAAAGCTATAGAGAAAGGGGTCATCTCAAAAGTTCAAATTCTGAATGTTTAGCTAGACTCACTTTCAATGATTGTTTTTCATTCAGATTATTTCTTGTTAGTTCTCTAATGAGTTAACGGGTAAGCAGAAGTTACCGTTTCATTTAGACGTTTAGAACTTTTGAGATGAACCCTATTACATTATCATTTTATATGACTATGTAGCTAGACCAAGGTTGTGCACCTCAGCATGCTGGGTCCGTTTGTTTTTCACTATATAGTATATAATTCATTATATCAGATTAATATGATTATTATAGACTGTTAAATTTATTTTATCAAGAACAGTGTAATTTTACATGTTGTGGCCACATTTACTAGTGTGTACATAGACAGAATGTACAAGTTCTGTACCCATGGTAACAACTTCCATTAAAGGGCGAACATGTGAAAATCAAATTCTGATACGTTCTTGAGACAGAAAATTTGGAATACGATCATGAGTCCTTTTTTCTGGAGACCATTTTCCATTTTTGTGTGAGAATAACAAACAGATATGATGTTTTGAACATAAGACCAATTTCAGATGTAGGATTCATATTTTGGCATTTCTATGTGATTTTGATATTGGAATGTCTTAGATTTGAAATCTCCATTCAGTCGAGTCATCTATTGGTTACAAGCTTTGTCGTCAAATCAAACTAATCTATAGTTTATTGCGTATAATTTGTGATTGAATTAATTGTCATACCTTCAGCAGTAGATGATATTATGGAAAATTTTCTATATTAGAAAGAACTTATCAGAAATTTGCTTTGTGGTATTGGGGATAGTCGATGAGTGCACTCTGTGACATCTGAAACTTGCTTGATCTCAACATGGTAGAAGTTTACAGAATTCTAACTAGAAATGGCCGGATATGTTTCATTCAATATTATTTTATGGAAATAGAATTTCTCTTTATTTATATTTTTGTTGTATATGGCAGAATTGATGAACTGTTAAAGATTTTACTTTGAGATTCTATGCTGTGTGGTACTGCAGTACTTTTAATGGCTTACAAAGATCTACCTGAAACTCAGCCATGGCAATGTATTGCATTATGGCATTGTCAATTGTATGCATATGACATTACACACTATTTTAAGTTCGAATGATTTACCTTTCGAAGTATGACAAGCATTAAAAGTGAAATTATTAACAAATCAAACCTTTATCAAATGTTATTATGTTTTAATTATTGGGGCTGCTCTCTCATATGTTATTCCTTTATAGAATAGCAATCCTGGTTGTTTATTTAGTATATGTTACATTGGTTTTACATGTCCTTCAAGGCATTGTGTTGTTTTTATATACAGGTGTTATATAGCTCAAAGGTGAATATATCCTTCACAACCATAGTATATCAGGGACTGTGTCAAAACTACATGTGCTTTTTACACACGAGGTTTAGTCTCAAATCATGTTGGCAAAAATTAGACGTACACCACAAGTGTTCCACAAATGTTCCACAAATGGCATTAATCAGTGACCTCAGGTCAAAAAAAGATCATTTGGCACATGTTCTTAAATCACATGGAAATGTTTGATACAGTCCCTTCATTGTTTCCTTTAGACCTTGTGTGCAATATTCATATGAAAGTATTCAACATTGTGAGTCATTTAAGTTTTATATCAAATTTACTTATTTATTTATTTATTTTGCCATCTGTAATCTTAAACTTTAAACCTTGTATAGTACATGCGAATGAATGTTTTGATTTTGTTTGTTGTTTATGAATCAAAATGCTTGTACAGTATTTTATCATGAAGATTTAAATTAGTATTTTGTTTTCAGTGTATCACGAGGGTGTCACTGAAAAGGTGCCATGCAATCATGGCACAGAAGTCGGCAGAATAGGTTAAAAAATCCTTGTTGAATAAGATTTTGTTTTAAATAATTCAAAGATGAAAGATCATACAGAAGAAATAATGACCTTTCGCCAAAAGCAGAGGCTTCATTCTTTGTTTTACGGATATGTCATAAATAATAATTTTTGGAAATATCTTTAATAATAATGCAGTTGTTTTCACACAAAATGGAAAGCAAAACATGAGGCTGACATGTGATTACTGGTGCGACTATTGTGCTGACTTCTGCACCATGAGCATGATTTCCTTTTCATGGATGAACACTGACTTTGTAAGGCAGGCATTACTCATTAGGTGGCCCCAGGAACGGTAACCTTTAACTTGTGATATTTGTCTGATAATGCTAGACCAGTACCCAAAGATGAGGAATATACAGATTTAACATCTATGTGAGGACTTTCTTATAGCATATGAGCATTTTGTGAGTGAATGGGTGAATGTTTTGAGAAAGATGTTAACTGCAAATTATTCATGTATGTTGTCTCAAGGGAGGTAATTCTCCAAGGGAGACAACTCACAGTGTGATGTGGTGGCAGCCTGTCTCCACAATGTTTCATCATTTTTTCCTCATATGAGTACAAAAATTTCATTTTTCGTAACCATGGTAACTCAAAACCATGCGTATGGTGGTCGTACGTACACTCTGCTGTTGAGTGCATGCGTCCGTATGCTCCCAATGCAGAGTATGTGAACGTGTCATGTAATATATACCAAATGTAAGGACGCTACCTCTGTACCGGTATCCTTACGATCATGTTTGAGAAATTTGTTTTTGTGTAGCAGTTGCCAAGTGCTTGTGTCACTCTCTGCAGTCTCTACCGTTATGTTGATTATCTGTATATGTGAAATAAACTAGAGGTAAGTCAAGCAAAGTGGGCTGACTTTGTTGTCATTTCAATCTGTCATATCAAGGAGGCAAACTGTTCAAGTCAGTCACACTCAAGGTTTTACTTTTTCAACCAAAACCAAGGAGGTGTCTATTATCCATCTTTCGAACCATCTAAATGCAAGAAATACCAGAAATAATAAGAAAATATTGCGGTATAAAAGGAATGCGTTCAAAGCGTGCGAGACAAAAACCATGTGCAGCATGCACTAGCTTGAGTCATGACATGATAAACTGAACAACTTCTCATCACCTACTCTGGTAGCTCAGTGGGAAAAAAAGTGGGTTACAAAACTTAACATATGTGAGCTTGCAGGTTGGATTCGAGTCAAATATTTTGATGAACATGAAAATTCTATATCACCAAACACAATTGTGTTCACTTCAAGAGGCAAGTTTATCAAAGTAAATTGGAAAACCTGGTCCCGGGCATTGTTGATATTGCCTGCCTTGGAAGCTTATCAACATTTAGAAGAACCATCTGTTGTGACGTCGTCAGATAAGGATGGTTACAAATACAAGTTCTTTTATTATTCCTTGAACTGTCCAAGGTGTCCAGCATTGAATTATTTAGGTCAAAGGAAGACACCAAAAGTGTATTCATGAAAATAATACAAAGAACTCATGTCATATGGTTGTTTTTGTTTCTTCACAGTAACTTCTGTAACTTGAGGAAATCCAGTGACAAAACAAAACAGATCATAGCTCTCATAACTTTTATTCAAAAATATTTGTTTTCATTTATGTTGGTTTTGTCATATATATGTGTATACATAAATAACTGTAACCGGATGGAAATACAATAAAAGTAATTTCGTACCCTGATATGGAACATATTAGTTTTACATAAGCAATAGATCAGTATACTGAAAACAAAAACTACCGTATTTCCTCTATCAAAATTAAAGGCTACGGCACTCTAAACATCCAAATATACAAATAGGATTCTGGCAGGAAGCTTTATTTGGTTTTGAAAAAAAGTCAACACCTGTCTAACCCAAACAAAGCATGAATTGTTTTGGTCCTGAGAACTGTCCAATCACCTGGAAAAGACATTGTTTGCTCAATGTGACATCAAATTTAATGTGATTTCTAATGTGAACCAAAAAAATGTAATGGGGACAGTAAAATCACTAGCATACAAACTCAAGCTTATGTTTATCAAACACAACTTTTGATCACTTCCACAGTTGTATCATTCCCGTGTTTTGGGCACAAATGCAAACAGACGGACAAACATGAGTCACAAGAAATCACTTCATAGAAAGCCAGCTATGCAGAGTATCAAAAACATTGCCCGAATCATCCTTCCTTTGTCTCTCCTCCGGGTCTTTCACCTTGGGAACAACCTCTTTGGGAACAGACTCTTTCAACTCCCCATCAATTTCATCAGCAGAGGCACTACCATTCACTTTATCATCAAATGAGCTGTCCAAATATTTGGAGTCCTCCAGGTCTGATCCTTTGCCACTGCTTGGCTTACTGTCTGCTTCCACAACAACATGGCCTTCCTGGCTGTCCTTATCCTCTCCTGCTTCAATGTTGGACACAACAGCATCTTCTACAAAAGCTGACACTTCAGCAAGGTCAAAGTCTGGAGTCTCTTCAGGCTCTCCTATGCTTGAAGACACTACTGCTTGAGGATCACAGTCATTATACACAGGAGTAAAGGCCTTTTCATCCTCCATTGGAGTAACTTGACTACATTCATCTACAGGATGATCTGCAGGATCATCTTTAGGTCCCGCCTCTGCTGCAACATTGACAACCTTCACATCTACATCTCTCTCAGACACCGTCTTGTTCACGGCCACTTCTATCCCTACGACATCCACATCCTCATCCTCGTCATATGCATGACAGTCACTATTATGTTCCCTTGTCATCATCTCCTCCAAGTCATGCTGGGTCATTGTGGTGATATCTTTGACTACAACTCTTGGATCCAAATCCACCAGTTTGGGAAGGTTTGTTTTCTCAGCTTTTAGATACTCAACATAGCTAGAACAAGATGAAAGGTCAAGGACAGTTTGTTCCATATCTGGATGTTGATTGGCTGAATGGAATTTCACATGGGCACGTGTATATGCACTGTAGTTGCAATGAGCACACTTAAAAGAACGGTTTTCAAAGTGAGTCGTTATGTGGAAGCTGAAGTCCGATTGGTCAGTAGCAACAAAGGGACAGAAACCACATTTAAGAGGCGAGTCATTCAACAGGTCAGTTTTGAGATGCTTGAAAGTTCCATGCAACGGCAGGTGGAGTCTATATTGGTACAAGCTCTCGTTCCGATACGAGCAAAAGTTGCAGCAGTACATCACAGACTGACTTATTCGTCTCTCTGTAACCAAAGGAATGAGCGTGAAAAAACATACTGTTGTAAGTATGAATTGTTTGATGAGGTTGATGGATGACAAAGTAGACACAATTTATGGATAACAACTTCTTTAATACTGTAAAGGCAGCGTTTCGGTATAGATCCTCATCCTACTTGAAAACGGTATAAGGATCTATACCAAAACATCGCCCTTACAGTATTAATATGATTAAAGAAGTTGTTATCCATAAATTGTGTCTACTTTGTTTTGTAGGTATGATTTATTAACAGAAATAAAATGACCTGCAATGAAACATGAAGTTACAATAGCATTGTTTCTCTTTCACATCTTTACATTTGTTTGCAAGTACAGTCCAGCAAATGGCTATGGGATTTTCTCCCTTTCTTTTTTTTCAGCTGAAGTATTTACAGTTCTTACACAAAAAACGAAAAGTAAATCATTCAGGAGCCATGGTACAACAGTGGCAGTACTGCAATGGCAACACAGGAATTATTGGGAGTTAATTTCACTTTTATCTGAAATCTTTCAATCTTGTTCACAAAAGGCCTACTTTCTGGTGATTGTTTTGAAACTTTGACCTTTTCAAAAATTACCTTTCAGTAATTATTTTCATAATAATTGCTGGAAAGTAATTTGGGCAATATTTACTGAAGGTTTACTTTGTCAAGGTGTGAACACGGTTAGAGACACTGAATGTGATTCTGTCAACAACAATTACCTGTTGCTTGCACTTATCGTTCTCATTAGCCAAGAAAAAAGATGATCAATTCAAATTGTGACCCAACATGCATGGAAAGAAGTAAAAACAAGAACGGTAACGGACCCCACATAATGAACACATTACATGCATGATGAGAAACAAGGCAATCAGGAGTTGTCTCCCTTGCACCACACCCCGTGCCTGTGGTCCTGGAACTGGTGACAATAACTCTACATGCAAAAACGGAAGCCATCCCATGTATCTGAATGCCACAAAACACTTCATTCCACAATTGAACTGTGCTAGACTTTGGGTCTATGGTTATCAATTTTTCGTTTGTTAATAAGGACATTCATTCTTAATTCTGGACACTGTATATTTATTCACGAACATCCCGGCATGATGGCCTGTACACATGGTACAAGCATGTCTGGTACATCTATTCTAGCTCAGTAACAATATACAGTATCATTACATAGTTACATTCGCAAGGGCTGTATCACAATAACTCAAATTCAAAGTCAAAATATACATATTCTGTCAGAAGTTATAACTGAAGGTAACTAGTCACCCAGGCAGAATTGCATATGTATTGTACAAAAACTTGCATCATTCCACTTCTACATGCGTTGAATTGTTTTTTCAGTTGATACAATGGGGTACAACCCTACACATGATATAATCCAAGTAGAATTCCTGTCATGAAGTCCCAAATTATGACAAGTTTCTATTTGAAGTGTACATCAAAACTATTGACCTTGACCTCCAAGTTCAAAAAGGGCCAGTCACTTGCAACTGACAGTGTATAATATAAAGGCAGTGTATAAAGACAGTGTATAAAGGTTTTAACGTGAGTAATGAGCATATGAAAAACAAAAGAAGTATGGATGAAGCATTTTTGAATTTCAACAAATTCATTAAATTATGTTGTAAGCTGCCACCGAGTGCTTAACCTTAACAAAATAAGTTAAGATAGTTAAAGACCCAAAAGCAAAACAGGAATTAGTAACAGAGTGAGTGAGTGAGTTGGGTTTTATACCACTTTGAACAGTATTCAAGTTATATCTCAGCATGTCAGCTTGTGAGACAAAAGCCCTAAGTGTTGCAGGTCTCAGACGTTTACCACTTCGGGGAAACCCACAAGAATGGTGCTGACAAACCTAGAAACATAATCGGGGTGAACCAGGATTCAAAGCCAATATCAAAGGGTTCTGGTGTGCCCAAAGGACGCAACTCTGCACAGCGAACTGCGGCACCTGATTAGTAACAGAACAGTTAGTCAAATTTTCATGGCCATGTATTGAAAACTTGTAGGATGGTGGTGAGTGAAAAAGTGGCAAAAAGCAAAGCAGATTTGATGTTAGATGGGAAATATCAATTGTCTGAATTCTGCCTACCATGAAAATTTGACTGAATGTGTTCACTGTCTAAAACTTACATTACAAACCCTGTTCCTTTCTCTGATATTAGTCTTTCCATCTAGAAGGTGAAATTGATGACGTTGATGATGCATACCATGACTGCCTAGGACTAGAGTGCACCAGAGGAGTTAGTGGTTAAGGGGATGTTGCCTTAGTGTGAGCAGATATTACCAAAATAAGTTACTTAACGTAATGAACTCAAAATTCACAATACATATTGTTTTTTCACTTCAGCAATAACAAATTCTTGCATTAACTTGATAAATACCACAAAATGAACACAAGATAACAATGAACATGATAAAGCTTTACAATGAAATAATTTTATAAGAAACAAAATTAGTTCCTTTGCAGTACAGACTTCAGTAAGCGATGACCGAACAGCAGCATCTACTATAGGCCAACTAAAGCAAATTATTACAGCAGAAACAAAGCTGACTTTGTGAACAGGAAACCCACCATCAATAGATGCAGCTGGTATTGCCTCATCTAGCATCTCCTGCTTCACAGACATGGAAGAGACGGCAGTGGCAGAGGCCTGCGATGATGTGGCCTGGGGGGGTCTTTGGCCATCTGCCGTCTCCACCATGTGCAGCATCCAGATCTCCCGGCCAGGATGGAAGGTGCGCTGGTGCTTCTCCAGGTATTCCCTGCAAACATCGCATGTAGTCTTTGTACGAAAAACATTTGTACAAGTTGCATGTTCTTGAACAGGCACAGGGTACCACTGCTTAAATGTGGATGATGTTTTACATTTGAAATTCAGGTGACAAATGGACTTAACATGCTTAATGATATCCATTCATATTCAAATGATATGAAAATACTTAAGCTATTTTCTGATTCTTATCAAGATGGCCAACATTGGCGATATGTTGTCCAATCAACAATGATCCAGATATAATCCATATATCAAACAAATTCAGCACTAGAAATCCTGATTACCTCTCTACATGCATTTTGGATTTTGAGCAGAGCTGAAGATGGCCTCCTATCATTAAAATAAAATTGAAACTAAAATAAAACAGCGTTATCACTATCCCCTGCCTTGGGTCAAACTGGGGCACACTAAAATTTTGTTTGTTCATATGGTAGTGAATATAACTCTAAAAAAGAGTCCTGTAAAGCCTTAAGAAAAGATAGGCACTTGGGTCGTTTATGTCACCAGAAAAAAATGCTTAAATGTGAAATTAATACACATAAAACGCCCCTACTCTCAAAAAATAATTAAGGCTCCAATTCTCAAACTCGTTTTGATAAGTATCTCTTAGATTAGCTAACTTCAGTAATTTCTGAGAAAACATGACCCATTGCAGACACTATGCACTTTGTAAATTAACATGGATCAAGGGCCAAAACTGTTTGCTCAAATCTAAAAACATGTCGCAAGAGAAGTAACTCTGCAGAAAAATATTTTAGGGCACCAAGTCTAACTCAGTCTTGATCAGTATCTCTTAGATAAGCATGCAAACTTTCATTCATGTCAAATCAGTTAAGAAACCTTGTACCCATTGCACACACAATGCCATAGGGCCATAACTCAGGGAAAATATGAAGCTAAGACACCCATTTGTGAACTCTTTTGAGATTGCGATCAGTAATATCAGTGTGTAAAATATCAAATCAGTCCCAATTGAGAAGCCGACGGATAGACGGAAAGAAGGACTGACAGAAGGAGTGACGGACGAACTCCGTTCCTATATCCCCCACCCCACTTCATGTATCTCATCTGGATATGTAGTCAGTTTTGAACAAAACTGATTGAGTAATGGCCATACATAGATTTATGCATTGCACCGAGGTGGCGGCCATATATCAGATTAGAACCTCTTGAACAATCAAGATGTCATCATTGACAGGAACAAGTACGTGAAATTTCAGTGTTAACTTAGAAAATATTTATGGTGGGCCATGATTTGTTTACTGACTTTCAGTTTCAGTCAGGATATAAGAATATAACCTTGAACTCCTCATGCTCATGGGCTGAATGCCTCAATGTCATTTGTGTGGATTTGACTAAGACTTGAATTCCCTAACCATGCCTACTGTGACCATTTTTTTTTTATATCAACAAACCTAAACCCAATAATTATTGTGGAATCGTCTGGATTTATTTACCACTGAAAATGAAACATCAACCTCAACTGAATCTTATAACTACATCTAAATCTCAAGTTCAGTTCAGCCAAGCTTGCTCTAATGGAGTGATGTAATGTGAAGGATGTTGATGCCACTCACCTGTTGCTGTAGCGGAGATGGCAGTAGGCACAGAGGTACTTCTTGGGCAGGTGACATCGGCAGTGGCTCACCATGGCTGGGAGATACCAGGCTGAGAATGAACACTTGGTGCAGTAGAACTTGTTTTTGCCAGTACTTAATTTTTTGCTTGCATACAAGTCATGTATCTTGGGGATTTCAGACAAGTTTCCAGTTTCTATGATCTCCCCATCCATCGTACAGGTGTTACCTTGACGAGTGTCCACCCAGAGGAAGTCCTTGTCTTGATGTGCTTTAGCGTGGTGTTGCTTCATTTGATCCACACAAACTGTGTGAGAGATGTCACACCAATAGCAGGCAATGTCCTTGGTCACAGCTTTACTGTCTCGATCCAGGCCAGTTTTCATGTACTTCTTCTTCAAAGACTTTGTGGGTGACATTGGCATCTTCATCGATCTCTTTATACCTTTGAATTTGAATTCCGCTGATGGTTTACCTTCTTTTAATTTTGCAGCACTGACAGGTTTTCTGGGAACAGCTGCTGTTTCACTATCTGGAGGAACACCAAGATTTACAAGAAGAGCATTTTTTCTGGACTCTTCCAAGAATCGGTTAATCTTTTGCTCTTTTTTCTCATGTTTTCGATACTGAAAGTTGTCTGAATGTTGAAGGCTGCGTACATGCTTGCGAAGTTCATCAGTGGAAGCATAAGGCTGGCTACAAGAACTGCAAGTGTATGGCCGATATTCAAGATGGCGATTGAGGTGACACCTCATCTTGCTGCCAGCGTTGTTCTTGAGGCCACAGATTCTACAGATGTACCTCCATGGTTGGGGAGAAATGATGCAGAGTTTGCTGGAATGGTGCATAGCTTTATGGTGGTCCTTCAGTGCTTGAATTCCAGGTGCTTTGAAGGTACAGTATCCACAATACAACATCTGGGATTCAGTAAATGTTCCTCTCTTAACAGAGGACTTTTTGATCACATGTTCATGTGTCGACACAGTGATATCTGGGTCTGAGCTGGCAGTAGACTTCTCACCTCCAGCAGAGCGGGAAGCTTCTCCACTTCCGGGGGCATGGTTTTCTCGAGTATGCTTGATGATATTTTCTGCAGTGTTTGTTTCAAAGTTACAATAGGCACAGGCATAATGTTTGACAGTTTCACCTGGGCTGGAGGATGGAGGGGGATCTGGCATTGGTTCTTCGGGCTCTTCTTTCACAATGGTTGTTGTGTCCTTGGTGTCTTTAAGCAGAGCTTGTCCTCCATGCTCAACTTCAATATGTTGATTTAGTAGCACCTTACTGTAACTTTTGTATCCACAGTATTCACATTGTAGTTCTCTGTATCTCTCATGAATTCTCAAAACATGACGATAAACATTAGATCTGTGTAAAGATGTAAATCTACACTTTTCACACACATACTTCTTGAAGCTACCCTCCTCTATGCAGACAACCTTTATCTCAGTTGTAACATCCACCATGCGAGAAGTTGTCTTGAGCTTCTTTGGAGTAATTGCTGAATCTAGTTGAGATGATTCAGCAGGTTCTAAAGATTTCCTTTTCTTTCCAAACATTGCAACCACCATCTGCTTCTTATCAGCTTCTGTTGGTTTTTGATCCACTTCATCTTGGTACTCTGTCATAGACTTGTTTGGAGTAATGGCAGGATCTGGAACATCTTCTTCGTAGTATGTGGGTGGCATCCTTCCTGAGGTATGTGATCCAGTTCCACTGGCCACTTCATGCAAAACCTCTTGTATTCTGTGATCCATATCTACTTCTAGGATTCTAGCTTGAGGCGAGACTCTTGGATGAGCTTCTTTCATGTGGGAGACAACAATGTACTTCTCTGCTCCCTGTACATGGCAATGAGTGCAGCCATATAACCCAATCTTCAAATGCTTCATAAGTATGTGTCGATGGATAGCATACTTTCTTGGGAACTTCCATTTGCAAAGGTTACACTTGTAACTGTCATTCTTTTTACAAAACAGAGGCATCAGCTTGTTGTGGAGTTTGTCCTTACCAAGGCAATATGCCTGTGGACCAAAGGATTTTGCAGGTGATGGAGAAAAGAGAGGCTTTACATCAACTGACTCTGGTTCTGATTTAACAACATTGTATGTGTTGAGAAATTCCTTCACTTTGCCCTCCATGTTGATGTTCAGTGGCTCAAACTTGATCAGTTGGTTCTTATGTTGCTCTAGGATGTGGTCAATGATGACATGCTTCTCAACCCCTTCAAAGTTACAATGTCCACACTTGAGGAGAGATACCTTCAGATGGTTCACAACTATGTGACGATGAATGGCATATTTTCTTGCAAATTCAACACTGCACAAGTTGCATTTGTTTTTTCCTCCAGTACATGTGTATAAACACAAAAGTTTCTCATCCAAGTATGAGGTTCCTAGAGGACCAGACATTTTGTTTGTACTATGAATGTCCTTACCAGGACTGCCAGAGTGAAGAGATAGATGTTGGTTGTCTATAAAAGTCACATTGTCTCCAGAAGGTGAAGGACTTGATGTTGCAGCAGCAACAACTTTCTTCTGATGTGCCAAGAAGTCTGCAACTTTCTTTGGAATATCATTATGCACTTCCTTCACTACATTCTCTTGTTCTGGATGGTTGGTTCTGATATGACGACCAATCTTGTACTTTTGCAGACCTTTGTGGGAACAGTATGGGCACTTCACAAGAAAGATATTGAGATGACGTAGAAGATGAATATGCATGAAGAACTTCTTTGGTTTCACCGAATTACAAATGAGGCATTGCTGTCTGTCTCCAAAGTTCTTGTAAAGACATGCTATTTGTTCATCCAAATCACCAGACCCAATGATGCAACTTTCATCTTTCTCTGGGGCTGAAAACTGCCTCTTGTGTTTTTTCACAGCAACATGTGGTTCTGGTTTCACCCCAGCCGCATGGACAGCATCTCCAGAGCCTGTTTGCCAACCTGGCCATGTGCATTTACCCATTGCTGTAATTTCTGGATGATCTTTTGTGAGGTGGAGAACAAGGTTCCGTCTGAAGTAGGTTGTAAAATATGGGCATTTAGGACATTTAACAGCTTGAGTAAACACTTGTCTGTCAGGCACAAGAAGGACTTCATTATTAAGAGTGGTTGGTAAACCAAAGAACATTTTCCCGCTTGGACAAATCTGCTCCACTGCAGTACCCTTGTTTCTTATTACCAACATAACACTGGAATGGTTTGTCTTCATATGGTCAATAAAAGCTGATCGGTACCCAGAGGCATAGTAGCAATTGCAGCATCTGGCCGGTGAACTGAGTTGGTCACCAGCCACAGCTTCTGGGATGACATACACCTGTTCAATCACATCAACAGGACTTGGTTTTACTTCAGGTGCAGGTTTGACCGATGTGTCTTCATCTTCAGGTTGTGGATGATCAACACCAGTTTCCACATCCTCCTCATCTACATCATCATCATCAGAGTCCTCCACCATAGACATGCCAAGGATTCCTCCTTTCGTAGTGTTGTGAAGTTGAACATGAACTTCAAACTGTCCTCTATTGTTCGTGGCAAATGAACAAGTTTCACACTGAAACTTATCAATGCCATGACTGCTAGATGATGTCACTGCAACTGGAGCTTCAGTCACTGATGTCTCAGAGAAAGAATTGTCAGTTCCACTACAATCAATGGTCACTATTTTTCGCACAAGAACCAATGGTTTCCCTTGATGTTTGTCCCTGATATGAGTGTAGACAATCTCTCTTGCAGTTGAGGACAGACTGCAGTATCTACACCTCAAGAAATCCAATGTGATTTTTCCAAGATTAGCATGTTTTTTTACATGAGATTTCAAATCTGCTGCTTTGGGGACAAGATACCTGCAAAAAGGGCACTTAAACTTCTTTGACATGTTTTCCTGACAGGAGTCACTTGATGAGGAGCTGTGTTTGGGAGGGGAAACCCATGCCACTTTCTGTGCGACAGATTGTTTGTCTGCATCAGTTGAAGACTGTGCTGCTGCTTTAACAACCTTGTGTTCTCTCTGGTAGTGAATCTGCAGATGAAGTTTGTGTCTTGTCTGATAGTTGCAGTGCTCACATTCAAGAACTCTGCTTTCTACAATCCTCTCCACAACAGAAAACATATCTTCCTCATTTCCTTCATTAAAATGAAGTTCATCTCTCATCCGGATATGTCTCAACATGACATAACGCTGATTTGTGTCAAAATCACACCTTTTACAACAATACATCCAATATTTGATCAAACCAGGATGACAATTAATATGCAGTCTGAATTTTTGTGAACTATCAAATCCTTGTGGGCAATACAGGCATCTAAATCTGTGTCTTTTGATGACAGGTAAACCATGACACTTCATATGACTTTCAAGTCGTTTCTGATCTCGAGCTACAAATGTACAATGACTACATTTTGGAGCATTTATCTGTTTCTCTGGAGGTGAACCATCACTTGGAGTCTTTGTAGCAGCTGCAGGAGCATTGGATGATATTTTTCCATATTCACTGTCAGTCACAGTATTTTCTACTTTCACTTTTGTGGCATCAGATTGTGTAGTAGTCTCATTGTGTTTGAGGGTAGTGTAGGTGGCTGAACTTGGGGTTGGAGAAAGTTGCTTTTTCTCAGGAACTGCAGCTAGTGAAGCACCTGGTATTGCTGTTGGTTTTTCTGGTAGAAGTGCAGAATCACATTTGTACTGAGCCTTAACCCGCTTATAGTTGTTGATCTTTCTGTCTTTGCAAATTATTTGTTTAGCAACAGACACCATCTTGGCCTTTCCAGGATGGTATTCTGAGATGTGCTTCAGGATCATCCTCCTGTCTGTTCCCTTACAAGCACAGTGTGGACAGTTCACAACATGGATAAAATTCTCATCAAAATGACTCACAAGTTCCTTGACATGAGAAAATGTTTCATTACATTCCTTGCAAATATACAAAGTTATATCATGGTGTAGGATTTGCATATGATTGAGCAAATCTGAAAGAAGGTTGGTGCCAAATTTACATCTCTGCATTCCACACAGATACAAAGGAGCAATTTTGCTGTAATTGTGAGCATGGTTGGTGATGTGCCTTAACAAGCTCTCTTCAGTATGTGCAAGCCAGCCACAATAGTAGCAAGGGAAAGCTTTCTCTCCAGCGTGACCCATGAACAGATGGTCTCGGAACTCAACGGAATTGAGGCAACTGAAATTACAGTTCAATCCACACACATAGAAATTTGGATTACGCATGTGCTTCATCTGAGCTGGGGTAATCCCTGGTACTGATGGTGGTTTTGGTGGGGTTGTTTTGGAAGCAGGTTGAGTTGATGCTGTTGGTGGTGATGACACAATAACCGAAGTAGGGAATGCAGCAGTTCCAGTCAAGAGTTGTCCAAGCTTGGACTGCTGTGGTTTTTTGGGGGGCACAGATTCAACATCAACATCAGCTGTTTGTTCTGAAGGTTTACACACATTCTTATCAACATCTTCAGAAATGTTTTCTTTGGTATTGTGAACAGATATCCGTCCATCTTTAAACACATCAATAACCAATCCACTTGTGTCATCAACGGATTTGTCTGTTGTTTCAGGTGATGGTGCATGTGTCTTGGGTGTAACAATCTCAGAGTCATTACCATCCTTATCTTCAGGTTTAGAAAATTCATCTCCATCTAGAGAAAATGATGCAACAATTTTCAAACCCATGTCTCCAAAATCAGTGCTGCTAGTTTCATCAACCTTCTCTTCAGAATTAATATTACTGTCCCTAGGCTCAGGTTTTTGAACACCTTCATCATCTTTATGACACACCTCATCAGTGATTGTCGTTTCTGAGGTCACATCTTCATGACAACTTACTTCTTGTTGTTTTTGTCTTTCATCATCTTCAAGATCAGCAGCATTTAAGCTACATTCATCTTTATCAAGATTTGTTTTGCCCTCAAGAGTCTCATTATCCACAGACTTCTGTTTGTCTTCTTGATCACTGCCTGACCCTTTCTGCATGTCATTGTCTTTTGAAGCTGTTTCTGTAAATGCATCTCCAGGCACTTCCTTCTCAACTTCCTGGGATTCACCTCCTATATCATGTCCCTCATTGTCTCTGACAGCACCTAAAGGTGGACAATCTCCTGAAACTTCCTTCTCAATGGAATGATTTTCCCCATCTCCTGAAACTTCCTTCTGATGATTGTCCTCCCCATCTCCTGAAACTTCCTTCTGATGATTGTCTTCACCATCTCCTGAAACTTCCTTCTGATGATTGTCCTCCCCATCTCCTGAAACTTCCTTCTGATGATTGTCCTCACCATCTCCTGAAACTTCCTTCTGATGATTGTCCTCCCCATCTCCTGAAACTTCCTTCTGATGATTGTCCTCACCATCTCCTGAAACTTCCTTCTGATGATTGTCCTCCCCATCTCCTGAAACTTCCTTCTCCATGGAACAGATCTCACCATCTCCTGAAACTTCCTTCTCAACTGAACCGTCCTCACCATCACCTGTAACGTTCTTATCATTGCTCTCACCATTTCCTGAAGCTTTCTTCTCAATTGAATGGATCTCACAATCTCTTGAAACTTCTTTCTTATCACTGTCCACACTATCAGCCGACATTTCCTTTTGAACATGTTCCTCACCATCAGCTGAAATTTCCTTCTTATCACTGTTCTCAACATCTAACATTTCTTTAATATCATTTTCCTCGAATCGATCTGACACTTCCTTGTGATCATCATCCTCAGCAGCTGATGACACTTCATTGCAAACATTTACCACCCCTTCATCTGACACTTCCTTCTCATCAATGTCTTTAGGAGAAGCTGACACAACCTGCCCAATATCACCTTTCACAAATATCCCAAATTCATGTCTCTCATTATCCTTGTTACCACACTCAGGGACATCCTTATCTGATCTTCCTTGTACCTCTTCAGATTTCTTAATCCTACCAGGATCATCACTTGTAAGTGACTCTGATCTCATATTGTCATCAGAAGCATGAGTATGAGGAACATGACTGACAATGTCAGTGAGGGTATGGCCTGAAGAATCATCTTCTGGCACTTCCTTTTTCTCATCATCCTTAGAAACAAGACATGCTGTTTCCTTCCCTTGACTGTCTGATGTATCATTTGATGTCACATCAGTATCTGACACTTCTGGTAGCTCATGATCTGAAGCATGTCCTTGATCTTTGGTAACCATTGGTACCATAAATTCATCTTTGGCTTCATTCTCAGAAACATCAGTACCGATGCCATGATCTTTACTGACTTTCAGTTCCTCTCGGTTTTCATTGATTTCTTCTAATGTCCCATGCTCTATTTTATCATTGTCTGACTCATGTTTGGAATCATCTGGTGATTTCTCTTCAAGTTCTTCTGAACTTGCTCTCTTTTCACCTTCTGGACAAATAATAGAACCAACATCTTCTTGTGCTTCCTTGATACCACCAGTAATATCCCCTAAATCCTCAAAAGACATGGTTCTGTCTTTGCTGGTACTACTTTCACGTCTCTTCGGTTTTAAGGAATTATTTTCACTCGCACACAATGTCGGTTTGCTTGGTAGCTTGGTCAACTTAGAAGGTTCAGAGCTATCTGATCCTGAAGAAGTTCTGGAGAGAGTGCCAACAGATCCCACTGAATCCACAGAAAGTTTACGTTTTAAAGACAACTCCCTTCCAGAAACAAGTGCAAAGAAGACACAAGAGTTAGTTTTTTTGGCCTCAAGCATTAGATTCTTTGCTCGACTAAGAGCCTTCAACATACAGTTCAGTTTCTTTCCCTTGTGCATTGTAGAAAGATGTTTTCCAACTTCTTTTCTTGAAGCAAAAGCTTCTTTGCAGTACAGGCACTGATAAGGTTTCTGGATAAGGTGGCACATCAGGTGCTCCTCAAAGTGATGACCCTTTCCAGTAAAGTCACATTCATTGCAAGTGAACTGATCTTCATTGCATGTGACAACAATCTGTTTGTGGGGTTCATTACTATCATGACTTTCATTAGAAAGGGTTTTGGTAAGATTAGGTATCTTTGAATCCGTTTCTACAACCAGTGCCTTCCTTTCAAGACCTTGACTTCCAGATCCATCTTTCATAGGTTCCTTGTCCTCGCTGTTCTCATCTGCTAGCTTTCCATCTGACACATCCTGACACTGAGAATTGGATTCCCCAAGAGTCACAGGTCCTTGAGAACTTCCAGGATCTTTAACATCTCTTCCCTCTACTTTTGAAAGTAGAATCTCAGACTGGCCTTCACCATCATCCTTAACAAAGAGCTTGCACTTGACGTCACTGATTGTCAGATCACTCACATTTGAACTGGCAGTATACTGTTCAACAGGTTCATCAAGAGTAGGTGTTGGGCAATCCAGAACTGAATAGTTTTCATCCACTGTTGGCGTAGCACAATCTCTGGATTCTGAACCTGCAATAGTGCCAGCAGGTAGTCCTGGGTTTTGATCTACATCGTTTGTATTCTGTCCACCATTTGTTTGACTCTTATAGGTTTTGGATGTAACTGGTTCATCTTTTGTTGGGGTAGGAACATCCAGATCTGAACTTGATTGTCGAATGCAATCCATTTTCTTACCACTTTTTCATTCCTCAGCAACCAAACTCTGCAAAAAAAGAAAAATACACATAAACCTCTTCCCTATTTAGTAATAACTGATTCATTTTAACTTAAGTTTTATAGCAAGAAAAGTTTGCTAGTTACCATGGTTACAATAAAATATTAATAGTATTGATTTTATGGCAACCTAAAATGACAGTATCAGAGTATATTCTTGCAACCAAAAAGGCAGTTGGGAATATCAGGTTGTTATGATATTGCCAAGGAAGCTCTAACAGTATTTGGGTAGAAAAAAGGAAGATCTGAATATAGAAACCACAGATCTTTCCGAATTTTCATCTGAATTCACTGAGACAGGTAATATGCCAACAAAAATAGTACTTCCAAATAGGTTATCTTTCAAAGCAGTACATGTTGTATGTCTAATTAGTTAAAATACTGGGCTAGACACAACTTCATGTTCAGTCCAATCACCACCAACACTTTCATGACAACAGCATGACCCAATAGAATGTTGTCTAATCACTGGTTAGAGATATTTAACATGCTTACAGTACACATCAAGCAGCAGTTCATCAATTCCAGATCCTATAGTCATGGCATTATGGAGATACCTCATACAACAAGCTTATAAAACATGTGTGAGTGAGTGAGTTGGGTTTAACGCCGCTTTTTTAACATTATTCGAGTTATATCACGGTGTGTCAGCTTAATGTGGGAGGAAAGCCCGAAGTGATGCAGGTCTAACACGTTTACCACTTCGGTGAAACCCACGGGCACGGGTATGGTGCTGACAAACCTAGAAACATAATTGGGGCGAACCTGGATTCGAACCCACAATCATAGGTTTCTGGCGTGCCCAAAGGACGCAATTCTGCACAGCGAATTGCGGCGCCTTAGACGACTCTTGCCCTCTTATAAAACATGACAAAACTTATCTCACTAAACAAACTTTAGGAAAAGATAGGTCAGACAGGTTCCACCGTAGGTGAAAGTCATGCTCACCTTTTCGTGAGCACCTGATATCATCACTTTTAGATTGTGATTCATAAACTCATGACGTACAATTGTACAATCAACTCTAATTTTAGCAGAGATTTCTTGTGAATATCGAAAGGGTATTGTTGCTTACCTGCTGAATAGTGTTGTATTGCATTCTGGAAGATGTGTATATTTAATACTAATTACAAAAATTCAAAAATCATGATGCCATTGATTTTAATATTTTTGCTTTTTGTCCCATCATGCCCACATGATCGTGCCATTCTAAAATTACCTCGTATGTTTTCAGACAAATAATTTATCTTCAGTAGGTGCATGGGACTAGCACATAGTTCAATATTCTGTGTGGGGGCAATATTATCCTAACCCATAACATTTCAAAACACAATGTTTTGTCATTTGTCAGTTCTTATGTTTTCACAAGCATCAACAGAGAAACATCGACAGATATGACAGCCATTATTATTATTAGGACATTACCAAGGCAATGACAGTCACCCATTTGTGTTTATTTCCATAGGTATCGGTCAGATCGAGTGGTCAGACTCGCTGACTTGGTTGATGTCATTGTATCCTAATTGCATAGATCAATGCTCATGACATCAATCACAGGACTGTCTGGCCCAGACTCAATTAATACAGACTGCAATCATACAGCAGAATATTGCTGAGTGTGGCATGACAACAAACAATAAATAAAATATATAAAGTTCACAATATTAACATGAACAGGACAACCTGGCATTGGAGGAATAAGTGAAACCCAGTGATCAAAAACGTGCAAAAGAATAGTTCCTAAATAAAACAAAAAAGCACATTTCCTTGTTTTAACTTAGCATGCTTATTACATGAATGATATGAGTCTACCTAAATTTTGCAAAGTAAACAAATAAAATAATCCTTAAATGATGCAGTGTTTTATTGAAAAAAGATCTTTATGTCAGTTGTTTTTTTCCTGCCCCTGCCTTTTGACATTTTAATTAAATCTGTCAATAGGTTGGTCTGGCATGAGAAAATCAATTCACCTCACCTACTCAAAATCCTCAGTGCTATTACTTTCTCAACGGAAATACATAATAATTAGACCAAAATGACATTTTGAATAGAATTATGAGGAATATCTCAAAACAAAACATTGCAGTAATGTCATAATGTCATACCCAAGAAACACTCTCTGACATACATATCTGTTACAATGAATCTCACAGAGAGTTAATGAATACTGATTTTTTTATCTATCTATCTTAAACATATAAGTCAATTAATAAAAAACATATCAGTTAGCATAACAACTCCACAAACTACTCATCTAATTACTAACACAATAAACTGTAGATGATTCAAAGCCAGTGACACCACTCAGTGTAATCATGCAACACAAGCCCGCCAAATCTCATTAGCCAATCATGTACCATAAGCCCCGCCCATTCTCATCAGCCAATCACAGAAAACAAGCCCCGCCCACTCTTATCAGCCAATCATGCAACACAAGCCTGTCCACTCTCATTAGCCAATCATGCAACACCAGACCTACCCACTCTCATCAGCCAATCATACAACACAAGCCCTTCTACTCTCATTAACAAATCACGCAACAATAGTCCCGCCCGCTCTTATCATACAATCATGCAACACAAGCCCGTCCACTCTCATTAACAAATCAGGCAACAAAAGCCCCGCCCACTCTTATCATACAATCATGCAACACAACCCCGTCCACTCTCATTAACAAATCACGCAACAAAAGCCCCGCCCACTCTTATCATACAATCATGCAACACAAGCCTGTCCACTCTCATTAGCCAATCATGCAACACAAGCCCGTCCACTCTCTTTAGCCAATCATGCAACACAAGCCCATCCGCTCTCATTAACAAATCACGCAACAAAAGCCCCGCCCATTCTTATCATACAATCATGCAACACAAGCCCACCCACTCTCATTAGCCAATCATGCAACACCAGCCCCGCCTACTCTCATCAGCCAATCATGCAACACCAGCCCGTCCACTCTCATTAGCCAATCATGCAACACAAGCCCGTCCACTCTCATTAGCCAATCATGCAACACCAGCCCGTCCATTCTTATCAGCCAATCATGCAACATAAGCCCCGCCCACACACATCAGCCAATCATGTCCCAGTAGTCTGGTAGTGGACACAGGCTGGGTTTTATTAATTTGTTTTTTTGAAACATAAACACACAGTTGTTTGGTTAGTCACCTTGCATATAATCTGTGACATGTTCTTAGCCATAAACTAACATGTCTCTCACAATTCCAATGCAGCAAAAATAACCCCAACAGCTACAGGAACAATATCAAAAAGTACAACACAAACTGAAACTAACAGTTAAAAAACAATTGTATCAAGACATAATTCATGGCTTGAGGAAAGATCTCCATTCCATCACCACATTCTCTCTCTGCTATACTGCACAGGTATCAAGGATGTTAATGGCTGGTCCTGACAAACATGTATCTTCCTACAGAGCCTTGGCTCAATCAATATGCCTGCTTCTATGTCCGCTCCTCAGTGCAACTGCAACCACAGTTTAAAGAATGCCAGTCACTGGTACATTGTTTGCTGCCAGAAGATTGCCATTTCACATCACAGCAGCACCACCCTCTCCATATATGTTACCTTCCGAACGTACACATGAATTGAAAAGGCTGTTTGAGTTTTACATCACATCGCTGCCGAGCAGGAAATGTTCGGAACTCTGAATATTTGTACCACAAGCACATTTCCCAAGGCAAGCACTGACTATGTGTCTGCTTGCTTTAGAAAACATAGCACAAGACTGTGAGACTTGGGTGTCTTATAGGCAATGTTTTTCAACATGTTGAGAGCAGCAGATCTAGCACTAATACTACAGTCCCAAGCAAAATTCAGTCTTGTGGATGCAGCCATAGAACATGTAGAACAAGTAGAAACTTTAAGTTTTTCCTATATACATGTCATCATAGGCAGAATAGGGACAAGTGATCAAATAGACTTAGATTTTAGACTGCTTAATGACATATGTTGCCCATATTTGAAGAGATATGTTGCCCATTCTCCCTCAGGGTAAAAAACATTATCTTATCATGCTTATCTCATTATCTTTAATTATTGAAATACAAAAAGAATATACATTAGATTTAAATAGCTCTTCATATCAAGATACTCCCTGATGAAAATTGCTCAACCATGTGCTCTTTTGAAGAGGATGGTTTTGAGTGTTGACCAGAAGCTGCTGATTATTGATTACAAGAATGTCTAACAATGGAACTCTCTACCATAGCTTTCTCAGAAAATGTGCACTGACATTGTTCTCCTGTAATCTTAATGATCAGCTACATGCCTACAAATTCCACGTAAGTCTCCTCTTTTTACGTACAACAGCAGGACATGATACCAGTGACCTTTGTGATCCAGTCCTCTCAACACAGTATCTATACAGTCAAACCCAATTGTCTAAAATATGGTTGTGTTGAATCCTCAGTTGTGTCCAACATACAGTCCAGTCCCAGTAAACTCTTACTATATTTATCACAATATTTATCTGGATGTGTCAAGCTGGATGTGTCAAATTCTTGTTGTCTCAAAATCAATTTATAGTCCTTAGAGTCATCTTTTAGAAAAATAACATCTTACTATTTCTTAGCCAAGTTAGATTTTGTATTTCCTTGTTAAATGGCCTAATCATAATATGTGAACCATCAAAGACTGATAACCTATGCATTGCTATGCAGGACGGTTGGTCAAGTCAGATGTGTTGAACCTTGAGCCATGTCCCCCAATGCAATCTCAGCACTAAGGCAACCATTCTTTAACACTCAGTTTTCATCTTATGCCAGTTGTAGTAGTAAGTGAGTGAGTATGGTTTTACACCGCTTTTAGCAATATTTCAGCAATATCACGGCGGGTGACACCAGAAATGGGCTTCACACATTGTACCCATGTCGGGAATCGAACCCGGATCTTCGGCGTGACGAGCGAATGCTTTAACCACTAGGCTACCCGACCGCCCCTCCAGTTGTAGTACAAAGAACACTTTGT